TACCCGGTTAAACGATATAAATAACGTTTTTTTAAATCGTATACCCGGGCTTATTCGGGAATACGATTTCGGGGATAAATTTATATATATCGGCCTTTTAAAGGTCGAATTACCTTTTATAAAATATTTTTATTTATTAAAGCTATTAAAAATATTTTTAGCTAAATTACGCTTTAAAATAAAAGCTTTTATTATATTATTACGTAATTTTTTTCCGGATATAAAAATATATAATAATATTTATTTTATTATTATTAAGCTTTATTAAAATAATATCGAAAATTAAATATTAAATAATAAATTTTATAAGTAAATAAAAGCGATCCTACGCTTATAGCTAAATTAAAATAAAAATAATTAGCCGTTTTTATAGTTTTATAAATAGTTTTTTATATAGCTAAGCTTTTTTATAATTATTAATAAATTTTAAAGGTAATTTTTTAATATTATAAGTATTAACTTTAAAATATAAATATTTACCTATAATTAATTTTATATTATAATATCCCGAACGATAAATATTAGGAATTTAAAAATTTTATTAAGCGAAAAAATTATTATTATAAATAATATCGTTTATTTAAAAATTTTAATATTTATTAAAAAAAAAGCGCTATTAATAAATTAGCTCGCATTAATTCGTTTTAGCGTTTTCGGGGAATTTTAACGTTTTTATTTATTTTATATATTTATATATAAAAATAATAAAATTTATAAAATATTTATTTTAAAAGCGAATATATTCGATTATAATAGCAGGTTTTCGGGCTAAAAAATATAAATTTAACGTTATTTATATTGAACGGTAAATATTTATTTATTATATTTAAATACGCCGGCTTTTAAAATATTATAACGGTCGAAAATAATCCTTTAAGCCCGAAAAAGGCTAAAAAAATTTTTAAATTTTATATTATACTAAAAAAAAGCTATAAATTGCCGAAAAATACCGAAAAATGCTAATTTTTATCGAAAAAAACCGGAAATACGGGCTAAAGAAATTATAAAAATACAAAAAATTTTATTACGGTAGTTTATTTTAAAAAAAACTTCCGAATAACGTTAAAAATAATCGAAAAGCGTAAAACGCGGTAAAAAATAAAAGCAGCCGATAAAAGCAAAAAAAAAATCGAAAATAATCGAATATATTTTATAAATTTTATAATTTTTTTATATTTTAAAATCGCCGGTCGTATAAAGTTAAAAAGGATCGAAAAAGGTTTAATTAAACTTTTTTTTTTTAACCTTTTTTAAAAAGCCGCGCTTTTAAAAATTTATAAAATAGATTAACGGTCGAAATTTATCGAAAAACTGCTTTTAAAAGCTTATTAAATCGGTGCGAATATTGCCTTTTTTAGCTATTATAATAATAATTCGAATAAATACTATTACCGTAGCTTTTTATAATAGTATAAAAGCGAAAAAAGCCGGAACCGTTCGAATAACGGCTATAAACGTCGAAAATAATTAAAGGAATACCGAAAATAATTATTAAAGCGGCTTTAAAATTAATAACGTTAATATTATTATTTTTTTTATATTTTATATTATTTGCAATTTTTTAGCGTTAAAAATAATTAAAATTTATTATAAATTAAAGGTTTGCTAAATATTTTTATTATTATTACGCTTTTTATCGGGACGAATTTATAATATATTTTAAGCGTAAAAATATTTTTTTTACCGTAAATTTTTATTAATACGTTTTCGATTATTTTTGGTTATTTATAATATAAATATATTATTTATATAATTTTTTTAATTATTTTAATATTTCGGCTAGCTTTAATATTTAGCTTTAATATTGCGAAAACCGTAATATTAGCCTAATCGCATTTTTTTAGGCTAAAATAATTTTTAGCGAAAATAAAAACCTAATTTTTAGCTAAATCGGCGTTATTTATAACCGGATCGATTAAATTGCAATTATAAGCTTTCGGTATAATAATTTTATTATATAGCGTTTTATTAGGCTAACGGGTATTTTTTATATTAATAGCCGCAAATTTACGCTTAACCGGGGTCGAAAAAGTGCTTTTAATACCGGAAAAAATCGGCAAAGCTTTGCGATTAGCTATTTGCTTTTTTAATTTTTAAATACGTATTTTTAATGCTTTTCGGACCTTTTCGGCTTTTTTTTCTTTTTTTCGGGCTTTTTTGCCTTTAATTTAAGCTTATTTTTCGGAGGCCTTAAGCATTTTTTTTAGCTTATCCTTTTTAAGCTTTTTTTTTTTCCGTTAGCTATAGCCGTAGTTAAAAAGCGTCGAAAGGCTTTAAAAAAAAGTTAAAAAGCGTCGCAAAATCGCGTAAATAATCGGTCGGAACCGAAAAGCAGCGAAATAAATCGCAAATATTAATTCGGGTTAATAAAAATATTAAAATTATTATAGAAATATAATTAGTAATTTTTCGGTAAAAATCGGTAATAAATAATTGCTAAAAAATAAAAATAATTTTAAAAATATAATAAAAATTAATAATATATAGGTTATAAATTAATATACGTTATAAAAAATAAGCTTTAAATCGATTATTTAATCGCTTTAAACCGGGAAAAATTATAAATAACGTAAAATAAGCTATATAATATATTTTTAATAATAATAAAATATAAAAATGCCCGTAAATAAAGGAATTTATAGTTATTATAAAATTAGGTAATATATTATAATATATTAAAAGCAATTGCTTAATATAAAATTGCGCCCGGGGTCGTATATACGCTAATTTAGCTATATTTAATCGCATTAAGCCGGGAAAAATTATAAATAATATAAAATAAATTATATAATATATTTTTAGCGATAATAAAATATAAAAATGCCTATAAGCAAAGGAATTTATAGTTATTATAAAATTAAATAATATATTATAATATATTAAAGGTAATTGCTTAATATAAAATTGCGCCCGGAGTCGTATATACGCTAATTTAGCCGTATTTAATCGCAAAAACTTTAGAAAAATTGCGTTATATATAAAATCGATTTAAAAATCCGATTATTATAATAAATTAGCTTTAAAAAATATACGTAAATGCAAAATAAAGGTATATAATAGTTATAATTTACCGGTAAATTAATAATTTAAAAAAGCTAAAATTATATAGCTAAAAATTACGGGAAAATATAAAAAATCCTATAATATAAATTTTATTTACGCGCTATTACGTAATTTTAATTAGGCCCGATTAGGAATTAATAGTTTTAAATCGGGTTAATTATAATAATTACGATAATTTTGGCAATTATATAGATTTTTTAGCTAGGTACTAATTATAAATAGCAAAAATAATTTTAAATATTTACGGCATATTACGGTGCTTTTTAATTTTACGATTTTATTATCGCTAATTATTTTGCTATAAATTATAGTATTTTTTAACCTTATAATCTTGCTGTTATTAACGATTTTGTTATCGCTTACGGTCTTGCTGTTGCTAATATTTTTTTTGCGTAAGTAAAAAAAATCTGGCTGACAGGGTCAGCTAGTATATTAATAAGTCATTATATATTTCTATTGCAATACTCCAAGCATGATATATTATTAAATCACAATGAATCATTTGTTTATTCGCAGGTCATTGAGCTGCCGAGACTTGCCAAAAAAAAAAAAAAAAAAAGGACAAAATCATAACATGGCATGGCAAAGCATAGGCGTTTGGGGTACTCCGGAAAAGGGCAGTCATTGCTGCGCAGCCCGCAAATCATTCCTATAAATCATATTGCTTATACTGAACGCTGAATAAAAGAACCATCAAGCTGGAATAAACCTGAATATCATATGATGAGCTGGCTTAATATGTATGTCTAAATATGTAATTTTGCCCGTGGCTGACTTCGCCTGAACCATGACCCTAAACCCAGCCGGCCCCTCTCCGGACAATACAGTAAATGCCTGACCTAGTCGAAGTACGGGCCGACCCGCTAACCTCCAATGACTTGTGTGATATGACGCGATACTCGCAGATTCCAGACATCTGCTGAGAACTCATTGTAATGTTGCATCCAATACAATGTCACGAATATCAATTGGTGCAACCATGCCTAGACGCTTCCTCCGTAGTACGTTAGCAGCTCGGCCGATACACGCGGCAGAGCAATGAGCATGGGAGCCAACCACCGGCACAGTGGCGGCACTGCTTGAGCAAGCTTTGTGAGAGGTGAAATGCCGACCTTGAACACCGGATCACGCCATGTCACCCTCGCCTATGCTCATGCAAGTTGCTGTCGCCAGCCGGACCCTAGGCGCTGGCAAACGAGGAGGGTATTTCCAAGACCGCGCACATCTGAATTATACTGCTGCAGATTGGTCTCATCGAATGGAAGACAAAATGCTCCGTTTTCTATTTATGCAAGTCCGATTGAGTTGCATCAACTTTGTCCATCAATACTGTCAAGCTATGTGTATCAATTCAGACCCTGTGATGCAGTCGTGTCACGGTAGCTGCATCTCTCGCATCTTGATCACACACATCGATAAGAAAGGAAGAGAGACTATATCCCGTATTGTACTACCCGTATGACTGGGGAATACCATGAGGAACACGACGCTTGGAAAGTATAGAGCCCTTATCTCTATGCTTTTCATCTTACCTGGTGTGTTTCTCATTGCGAACTCTCCACCTAAATGGGGCAGTTGGCTGCTGCAATATCTCGAGATAATGGCGTGCTGCCAGGGTGCTGGCACTTCATTGCAGCTCAGCTTGGCCTTGCCGCATCTACCAATCCTGGCGTGAATGGACCATCCATAACTCGAATCTTTCGTATAACAGTAACTCACCCCTCACCACGAAACCTGTGACTTGTTGTGCCATTTGAGTTTTTAATTTTCAAAGGTTGTCGTCGGAGCTTGCCGGAGATAGAACAACAAAACAGAGTTCATCTTATCCTCTTCCGAGGACCGAAACCTGGATGTCCGGGCATTAAATCTCGTCAATCTTCCGCTTCACTATCTGCATCTTGATTCTCTGCTGAGCAAGTGCGCAAACTGTGAGCAGCATGTTGTTCAGGCGACACTTGGGGCGCGATCGCGCCACCGAGTCCGATGAAAACTCCTCCACTCCACCAAACGGAACCGTGGCGTATGATGGCGACTTCAAGTACGTTGGAGAGGTCGGCGGTAATGATGCGCCAGAGATGTTCCAAGAGGCAGGTGGTGCCCCTGTAGAAAGTCACTCGCCACTTGGCTACAATGTCGGACCTATCACCATCTTGTTTTTGAACATCAGCATGATGATTGGAACTGGAATCTATTCGACACGTAAGTATCCATGCGTTGGACAATCATCGGTATTCTACCAAGGCGCTCACATCTTTGTAGCATCTTCTATCCTCAAAGGCACCGGCTCCGTCGGCCTTAGCATGATCTATTGGGTATTGGGAGGCATCATCTCGCTCTGTAGTGGTGCTGTCTACCTGGAATTTTCGGCGTATTTTCCAAGTCGATCGGGTGCTGAAGTCGTGAATCTGGAGCAGGCCTATCCCTCGCCGCGCTTCCTTTTCCCGACGGCATTTGCCATGCAAAATGTGATTCTCTCTTTTCGAAGCAGTAATTGTATCGGTAGGTCAAGCCCACCACAGCATTCAATGCCGATGATTTGAGACTAAACACCAGGACAGTGCTTGCAAACTACCTCTTCGCCACGGCTGGTCGTACAGGCACAGATTGGCAGATCAAGGGTGTAGCTATTGTCGCCTACACTGTTGCTGTCATTGGTAAAGCATACACCTCTCTCAACCCAAGCCGTCATTAACTCACTTTTGGATAGCCGCCATCCTTCATACAAAGGGTGCATATTACCTATCAAATGGAATCGGCGCCATCAAGCTCCTCACGCTGGTGTTTATTGCGATCACTGGCTGGGTAGTCCTGGCTGGCCACACCTCGGTCGAGAATCCAAAGGCACATTTTCAAAATGCATTTGAAGGGACCGCGACACCTTATGGGGTGACCAATGCACTTTATCGAATTATCTTCTCCTACGCTGGCTATAACAATGCATTCAATGTTGTGAACGAGATCAAGGTATGTTGCTGTCTCGCGGTTGTTCCCTGGAGCTGTCCCATAAGCTGAACCACGTCGCAGAATCCCGTGAAACAAATCAAGAGAAATGGCACTATTTCTATCTTGACTGTCATGGCTCTCTACATTTTTGCGAACATAGCATATTTCGCCGCCGGTAAGATCAGGGCTTGCTCATTGTTGCTAGTCAAGCTGTTGCTGACCAGGATCTTCAACAGTGAAAAAGGAAGACTTGGAAAATTCAGGCACCATTGCAGCGACACTGTTCTTTTCGTCCGTCTTTGGATCCAGTAAATCTTCCCGGGGACTCAACTTTTTGATCGCGCTCAGCTCCTTCGGTAACCTGATTGCCGTACTGATCGGTGCCGGGCGCCAGTTGCGAGAATGCGGAAGGTAAAAATCCTTGCTCTTTGGTGTATCGACATGTCTGCCGTGTGAACTCTTTTGTTAATCACGTAATATAGGCAAGGAGTCTTACCATGGACTCGTTACTGGGTTTCGACTTGGCCCTTTGGTACACCTGCTGGCCCGTACCTCTTTGATTGGGCCATAACAGTCCTGGTCATTTTGGCCGTTCCTACTGGTGATGCTTTTAATTTCGGTACGTAATGCTCCGTGCATCGATCATCTATCAGTTCCTGATACACAAACAGTCAGCGACCTTGCAGTGTTTCCCAGTTCCTTTTTCAGCCTTGCCATGGCTATTGGACTCTATGTTGTTCGTTGGCGTCGCAAGAAGGCAAACCTTCCCGAGCCTGCCTTCAAAGCGTGGCATCCCGTGGTCATTTTCAATATCCTGGTCCAGCTCTACCTGATTGTGATGCCCTGGTATCCTCCCGCTGCTGGCAAGGGCGATGTCTCGTTCTGGTACGGCACATATGTCGTTACGGGCATTGGTATTGTACTCACTTGCATCGCTTACTACGTACTCTGGGTCAAGCTGCTTCCCAAATGGCGAGGGTATGAACTGCGTCAAGAGGTTTTGCAACTGGAAAGTGGCGCCCAGGGTCATCAGCTGGTCAAAGTGCCCATTGAGCAAGTTGCCGAGTGGGATGCGACGCACGATGCCATCGGGCGCCCAATCGGTGCCGTGAGCTCCAACGATGCCCGCACCGAGGTCCAGTTTTCTAGCCTCGCCGCAGAAAAGGCCTGATTCATGCGTCTATCTATAGATATTAAGGCTACATCCCAGAGACTCCATGCAGAGAGTGGGCCAATAGTAACAAGCTTTTCATCTCATGGCTCTGTCATGAGTACTGCTGATTAGCAGCATTAGCTTGCTAATTTATACGAATCATGCATTAAGCAGGCACATACAAACAAGTTTTGCATAGCCCCTCGAGCAACTCGAAATCATATCATCTACTTTCATCGCAACATTGACCCTTGGAGAGGCGCAATGCGCCAACTGATGAGTAGTGCCTCGTATGTACACCCAAAATCCGGACGGATTTTGGGGGTCGATTTATGTATGCCTAGAAGGACCGATCCAACTAACCTAAATACCTGAACTGCTAAGCGCTCGGGGATACAATCGCATTTCCGAGTACTAGGGCGTCAGTAGACATGAATCAGAGCAGCCATGTTATAAATAAAAGCTCTTGCCATACGGATATCAACGAGTGACTGATATTCATAGGCAGCTGTAGAGCTGGCTGTAGAACTGGCTGTAGAACTGGCTGTAGAACTGGATGTACATTTGGGCAGTATGGGTTGATGTACTGGCCAGCTACTGCCAACTGGGTGCCGGTATATCTGAATCGTGACTCTCACCCCTTCTCTGGACTTGATAAATTGCAATTTCCAAATATGCAATCATGACTTCATGGTAGAACCGTAAAACTGTAACACCGTGATCGTAAACCGTAAGTTCAAATTAAGTATGTGTTTCTTTCTTATGCCAGTGAAACCTGATATAAAATGCCAATAAAAATCCAGCTTAATACCAGGTGCCCAGTACTTTAAATAATGGGATCACTTTTTCTTTTAGGCTCCTTCAATAAGGTTATGTGCCTGCCACCAAAACTCTACTTATTAGCCTTAATATTAATAATTCACCTAAACATTATTTTTCTGGGAAACAATCATGGTGTTTGGGACAATCATTGTTGACGCCAATAATCATTGTTCAGAACCACCCCACCCCAGTACGGTAGACGGCTTATCCCAACACCCTTTGTCACGGTCTTCCCTTTCACCATGGCTCCTGGAAACATAATCATATTTGGCCCAACCGGTCAAGTCGCGGTGGCGGCGGCTCGGATGGCGCAGGACAGGGGCGCAAAAGTGTCGTTGGCAATGCGAGATACGACGAAGCCAATTGTCGGTCTTGATCCCAAACAAGAACAGAGTGCTGGCATGGAGCGCGTCTATGCTGACCTGACTCTGCCTGACACTGTCCGGGCTGCAGTTGCTCAGACGGGGGCCAAGCGGGCGTTCCTCTACTGCATCATGGGCAAGTCTATGCGGCCCAGCATTGAGGCGCTCAAGGAAGCCGGTATCGAGCTCGTCGTCTTCAACAGCAGCTCGACCATCCAAGGCGACCCGCAGGCTGTAGATATGGCAGCCAACTTCATTGCCTGGGCTCATGCACAGGTCGAGATTGCCCTCGAGGAAGTCTTTGGTGTCCCCAGCTACGTCGTTGTGCGTCCGTCGGCTTTCATGAGCAACATCCTCGCTTGGAAGGAGATGGTGAAGAAGGGCCAGCTGAAACTAGTCTATCCAGAGGCCGCCGTCTTCAATTACATTGCGCCAGAGGATATCGGCGCAGTGTGTGGTGCTCTCCTAGCCCAAGGCCCCGAGGTACTGGAGACGAAGGCTGGGCGGAATGTTGTCTATCTTTATGGGCCTAGCCGCATGTCGCAGCGTGAAGCTGGACAAGAAATTGGCCGAGCGATCGACATTGATCTCTCCATCCAGGCTTTGAGTGACAAAGAAGGGGTCCAGTTCTTTGTCGAGAACTTACATGTCCCCGAACAAGCAGCCACAAATTTTGTCAACAGAATGAGAGAAATGAGCGAGAAGGGCCGTAATCAGCATAAGCGGGCGCCTGAAATTCTTGAAGAAGCGATTGGCAACATAGAAAGATACTCTGGACGGCCGCCTACAACCATGGCGAAGTGGCTGGAGGGACAGACGGAACACTTCAGAGCTTGACTGTGATGACTTGGGCAAAGCATCCCGGGCCATATCGCGTCTATGAAGAACTAGTCACCAGGGGGCTTTGATTTATTGACCAGAGCGAATTCTTGGATATTGAAGATATTTATCAGAGACTTAACAAGTAAACACTCCGCTGACTGTCCCTTCTCGGAAATTGTCTCTCTTTGAACATTATGTTAGAGTCTGGCTCAATGTCATAAATGACCATTTGGGGTGTTGAGAAATGACTTACGATATCAACGATGCTTGCATATGTTCCACATCCCAACACAACCAAACCAACCACGAATGCCACAGCGCACATGAGAGCGTGACCAAGGTTTTCGCGGTCATACCATCGGCCCTGCTTGATCAGTTTGTACCACATGAGTGCAGGCAGGTAGAATGAGAATCCCGACACAAACAGAGATGAGCAGAGAGACAAGAGGTCGCTGAAGATGGGAATGGCCTCAGCCGTGATAAACGCCAGAATGGTGATGACAGTAATGATAGCCAACCAGGTGATCCAACCTTTGGTAGTGTTCACAAAACGGGTTATGGAGTGTTTGAATATGCGTCCGTGGATATAGCGCCCGGCAACTGTAATATTGATAGACCCCGAAATGAAAATCACTGGCAGGGCAATGCCAAAGGCAACTCGCGAGACCACATTGCCAGCAGAGAGAAGTGCAGGCGATTGGACTTCAGATCCGACGAATGCGTAGATGATGGCACCTGTCAGGGTGTAGATGATGATCTCAATGATTCCAAGCGACCAAATGGACTTGACATAGTCCTCTGGCTTCTTCAATTCGTCCATGAAAGTGAACTGACACATGGCGAAACTGTACGCAAATACAATGTTTGTGATGGCCACGAAACCTTGAATGAAGGTCGTGTCAGGCGCTGGCCACGCTGACCATGTGCTCTCGCTCAGTATCTCATGGCTTGATCGGATGCCGGTGGCGATCATGGTAATGCCGATGGCGCCAATGATGGAGATGAAGTCAACATAGCCGAGTATCGCCTGTTCCGTAAAGGACGGGGGGATAGCTAGAAGCAATAGGATGATGGCTGATACCACACCAAATACGATTGAACAGACACTGCTCTCGGTGATGTGGGTAAAGGCAATAGTGCCCGTGAGGCAGTGAGATCCGACGAGCAGAATGAGCTCTATCACAAACATGGCACTGCCCAATTCATATCCGAACCTGCCAAAACGGCCAAACAGGAGTCCCATAGCGGCTCCATAGTGGTCAATCTCGGGGAACTTCAACTTGACCAGACCGATGATGTGGCTGGTGTATATGGCCAGCAAGCCGACACCGACGCAGGATATAACGCCGGCGACCATGCCCAGCGTCGCAAAGGCAGCCGGCAGGCTTAGACTGCCCAATGCAATGGCGTTCACAATTAGCACAACTGTGAGTCGCTTCCATCCAAGTCTGCGGAAGAAGGCCTCGCCCTCTTCCACCTTCCGTTCCGAATATCCGGGATCCGTATCCGAACTCTTCTCGCCTGCGCTGCCACGCCGTTTCTTGTCCATGTCTTTGCCGGTGCCAAGTTCCACTCTCTTCGGCTCCGTGGCATCATCGGTGCTGCTGTTCATGTCGTTTTCGGCTAATCCGGAGCCGTACGGTGTTGAGCCGGTCATCGTGGGAGTGCGAATCTGGGTTCGCAGGGTAGAAATACCTCACGAGGCCGTCAATGGATGAATTTCTCTGTTGTTTGGGTGTTTGCTTTAGAAGATTTACTAGCTTCTTTCGACGCAAGTCGCACCCAATGCTCAAATGATGTTTCCCACAACAGCAATGTCTTATACCAAAGCCGACACAATGATCAACACCTCGTTGTCGCCATATGACTGCACGCATTCCAATCTCAAACTCAAGGGAAAACTCTGGCGGGGGGTGGATCCGCGGCCCGGCCGTTTCGCGGTGGGTCGAAAGGTTCAGTCATAGTAAAGGGGCGTCACCAAACGTGGCATCACGAACTATTACCTAACACTTTGGGTCGGATGGGTCGGATGAGTCAAGGCGAAAAGCGCACAAACTGCACATCAAGCACTTGACGTTTGTGAAATTGAAGCAGCATCCAACAGCTTTGGTGTATTTGCTGCTTTGATTTTCTGCGCTTCGTTCGTCCTCCGCTACGTTAAAAGATTATTTCACTGACTATCAAACCTAGTGTCGCAATATGCAAATACCATGAGTTTCATTTGGCAAATTGCAGGTGATCACACAACACCTCACAAAATCCACCAGAGTCAGCAAGGATCACCGCATGTCACTGAAGTTCTGCTTTGTTAAACATTCCCTGCTTGCTTTTCCTTTCGTTTTTCTCAGCTTGATGTACACGTTTTTGGTTGTCTTTTGACATCAACTGGATGTGGTAATCGGCCCAGCTTTAGAGCCAACCGACTGAGAGCCAAAAATGCAAAAGACGGGGTCGATTTGTTGACGGCGCCAGCTGCTCATTTACGCGCGCCATATTGGCAGAGTTAAATATGTGGTAATATTAGCTGTGCAGCTCGACTTAACTGGGCTCACATAATGAATGGCTGAAGCATATATGAACGGTAATTGAATAGCCAGGTGTCTCATAGATTAGTAAAACACCTCGCAACCGATCTCGACTATTGCCCCGTGGGATACTTGGAAGAAAAAAGAATATTGGAGAAACAGAGTCTTTGGGCTGGTAGAGCTGGTCAGTTTGGGCAATATCATGATGGACTTTAATGGTCGTTCCATGCCAGTAGACATATCACAAAGTCACCTCGGGGAGCAAAGGATAGGACTAAATGGCTGACATTTCTCGCAAAGTACACGAGCATTCACGGGATACCACAATCTAAGTCGCAAGTCGTATTCTGGCAATACCTTCTACATGTTGGTACACTGGATATATTTGAAATGACAGATGAGGGCATGCTTAATGTGATTGTGCTGTTATCGTATGAAAGTCTAGCATCGCTAAATCCAAGATGTTCCCTCGTGTGAATGAGGGTCTGCCCATGCGAGCTGTGAAATAGGTTATTGACTTGAATATGATTGAATATTTTATGGTTTCAAAGCTGTTACACCCCCAGAACTACAAGTTCATAACTATTAGCGCTCCCAATGGCATGGGCGATGCTTTCTCTAGATCATTTTCTACAATGTTTTGTATATGTATGTTTGTATAAGATCAACCGTAAAGTTCTGCTGGTCATTTGATGAAACGGTGCTACAAATCATACTTCTTTGCCTTCATTTGTTGCCATCTTGCTTGATGCACCATGGTCGAGACCTCGCTGCATTGGCCACTGAGCTTGATCAAGGCTGAATCCTCATCATCGTCCTCTGACGAACAAGAATGAGATTCCATCTTTCCCCAGAGCTTATCAGCATGACCACTGAGAAAAGAAATGAGGTCATCCAAGGCCTGCCAGCCATTCTCGTCTATTTGCCGCAGCGATGCCAAATATTGCGTGGTGACCATGAGCCGGTCAACTTTGTCAGAGCTCATGTTACGTTCGCGCTGGACTGTACGCTTGATTGATCGAGCTTCGTCTTTAATCATGCGATTCAACATTTTTGAGTTGTTGGCCCAACGCTGCCACTCGGGTGCCGGGCCCTGGGGAACACTCGCTAATGTCGACATTATTGACACGTATCTCAAGCAAGAGGGGCGATTTCAAGCTCTATCCGTATGATGTACGTGCGATTACTCGAGAACAGTCCTTGCGCAGAACGAGATGACTGCATCGATGATTGGTGTATTAATGACGTTTCTTTCTCTTTGTTCCCATCTTCGTTTTGTATATTTTCCGCAGCCAGCGACAAAGTAGATCCATTGTTATTATCGTAATTCCTTATTGTTTGTACTCATAACAATGCACCATTTATCAAGACACTCAAAAGCGGTCATTGATGGTGGCCTTGCTCTGGCATAGCCCCCACACGGCTTCGATTGTGAAAAAAAAAAAAAAAAAAAAGTTTTTGAAAAATTTACGCCGTCTTGTCGCATTAGCTATTTCATCAAGAAGCTCTTGGGTGTCGAACCGTCCTACTCAAATACCCAACTACTTCTTTTGGAAATACAGCCCTTGAGTGCCCAATGGGAGCACTGGCTTTCCGGGTGGGTGTATTTGAGCCATCTAGAAGTTGGCCACTACACCAGGGTGCCGCATAACTATAGCGTGTAAGCAGAACGAAGCCAACAAGTGGGATCGCCGCTGACTGAACACGGAGGTCCAAGCGAGATACTTTTGGGGCGTCTTTCGAGTTAGGCATAATGTAGTACATAGTAGTATCGCCAATGCTTGGCTGTGGATTTGCAAGCCGGTATCGGGAATGAGCCGAGGATTTTGGCAGACAAATTTCTACCTCATTCTATGTTTCATACTCTACCTAACCCCCGACATTTCAATCAATGAGCAATTGATCTGGATACGGAAATGGTTCAAGCAGCTTCAGAGACTTTTAGAGCGACCAGCCACCTTCGGAATGTAGACCCGACATGCAGACTGATTGAGCCAAGTATACTGAGAGGTAAGCAGCATCCACGGATGATAAGGGAAGGCCCCTGCATTCGGTATCGTCGGCATCAGCCGAAATGCACTCGGTCCGTTGCCAGCGAATGCTAGGCCCCCATACTATGCATGCCCACGGGGGAGAAGTTGCGCTCGGGAGTTTGTCAATTGCTCGACTGCGGAGACGACGACGATCCGGCACCCTGAAAATGTTCTTTGAATCTTTGATTATGAAATTGGTTATTAACCACTCTTATCGTTGTTGACTCTTCCCCATACGAGGGGATCGGGCGCTATAGTGCCAAGGCCGCTAGCGCTATCGCAGCAATATTTCGTTCGGGTCCCTAAATGTAGCAAACAATAGCGCCTTGTCCTGGTTTCTTGTCCAACAACTTGTTGGTCAAAGTCGAACACATCCCGAATGCCCCGGATTTTCGTTCCTTTGATTGCAAAGATGATGAGCAAGCCAAGGGCACGTTTCTCGCATGGTGCCATCTTGCCCTTGTACTTGATGTCATTATCAGGAACCATTTTGTAAAATGCCGCAGTCATGGAGTGACACCCCTCACCTGTCAGAGAGTAAAGCCACTCACCGAGTCCCATTCACTGATAAGGATTCCTACCCATGAGCAAAAGAGTCGAGTGCGAGGTTGGAAATCGACGCGGGTATCGGTAACAGTTTCTTAGTAGTTTGTCTAGGTATAGTAATCACCAGCTTGTGATGCGGTGAGCATATAAGCATCATGGGTTCCCCCAAATGGAAAGAGTTCGACTGCCAACTCAACTTGCCTGTCAACCGGTGTTCAGAGCTGACAACCAAGCCACTGTCAAACAATGTTGTCTTCCAAGCTTCTCTTGGCTCTCCAGGCTGGCCTTGCCTTGGCCACGCCGATGCGAGTATCAGCACCCCCGGCTGCCGCCCGGTTGACTGTCCGTGAGGAAGGGGTGTACAATGCTAGCCACCCCAACATTACCATTTTCGCGACTGGAGGTACCATTGCTGGCAGCGCGTCCAGCAGCGACCAGACCACTGGGTACCAAGCGGGTGCCCTCGGTGTCGAGACTCTGATCGCGGCTGTTCCGCAGCTGTGGAACGTCTCCAACCCATCGGGCATACAAGTTGCCAATGTGGGCTCCGAAGCCATCACCCCGGCGATCCTGCTCAACATGACCAAGCAGATCCAGGCTGAGCTTGACAGCCCCTACTGCCAGGGCGTTGTTGTCACGCATGGTACCGACACCCTCGAGGAGACGGCCTTCTTCCTCGACCTCACTCTCCGCACCGAGAAGCCAGTCGTCATTGTGGGTGCAATGCGCCCGGCAACTGCGATTAGTGCCGACGGCCCCATCAACCTGCTCGAGGCCGTCACTCTTGCCGCGAGCGAGTCCGCTCGGGGCCGAGGTGCCATGGTGGTGCTGAACGACCGCATCGCCAGCGCCTACTACGTGACCAAGACAAACGCCAACGCCGTCGACACATTCAAGGCTTACGAGCAGGGCTTCCTGGGTTTCTTCATTGACATCAAGCCCATATTCTACTATGCTTCTGCCCTGCCAGTGGGTAAGCCATACTTTGACCTGTCCAACACGACCGTCTTGCCCCAGGTTGATATCTTGTATGGATACCAGGGCCTGAACCCGGCTCTTGCGACTGCAGCTGTTGAGACTGGTGCCAAGGGTCTCGTACTGGCCGGTATGGGCGCCGGAGGCTGGACGGATGACGGGTCCGAGGTCATCACCAGCCTGATTGCCGAAAACGGTACGGCCGTTGTCGACTCGCGCAGAACAATGGACGGCTATGTCGAGGCTGCCGATACCGAGGGATACTATGGTGGCGGCTGGCTGAACCCGCAAAAGGCCCGCATCAGCCTTCAGCTCGCCATCAATGCGGGTTATGCTGATGCTCAGATGAGGACGCTATTCGAGTTTGCTGGTTAAAGAGTGACCGGGTGGCAGATGAGCCACGAATATTATGATATAATGAACAAACACTACTAGAACTCAGACCTCGAATGAGGAAGACTAGACATGATTAATATTAATGTTTTTGATGATTTTGATTGCCCGAAATCATTGAATCAAGCATAGATTGAGCGACCGTGTACTGGATGGATACCTAGTATCTTGTAAGCTATAACACTTTTCAAACGTGGCAAGAAATTGAGGGGGGTGTGTGTATTCTGTCAGACGCACCTCGGAAACATGCGGCCGAGGAAGAATTAGGCAATTATAATGATTGGTACAGGTGATTATTACTGGACCGTCAGTGATTGTAGAGCTGGACCACAAATAGAAATACAAAGTTGCATCCATTCAATCATGATGATTTTGCCATTTGGTATGTAGTAATGATACCACGTTTCCACTATGTCACCTTGAATTGGACAGTCGCAGCTCCTTGGCCCGTGCACATGACGTATCGTGCCTGCAACCAAGACTCAAAAGGCTCCAGCAACTAGTATAACCTCACTTGCCCTCATCAGGCAGCTCAAAATGCAAGACGGGCTGGGCAATGGAGGCAGAAATTTGTACATAAAGGGCTTTGCGAAAGAGGCACTTTGTTTATTTGTTCTTGCTTATTGGATATTTTCTCTTGAGTATCCAAAACACCACATTATTGTCTACTAGTCCCATAACCGTCTGAGATTGGGAGACTCTATCTTCACCTTTTAATAATAATGGCACCCACGCTTAGACAAGAATCTCAAAATGCCCACAAGACCGTCAAAGTGAGCAATGAACGTTTCGAGATCTTTCAGAAATGGTTAGAATCGTCAAACTCCGAGTCTGAAGAGAGAAAAGCAGCAGAGGCAGCGGCAGCACGATCAATCGACGGCCTGGCGCCGACAGGCAACAAGGAAGACGCCGACAACTTCATATGGCAGACCTGGGGCGATGTTTTCCAGATCGCGCAGCAGATCCCCCATGCCAGCCCCGCTCAGGACAGTCTCGCCCAGATTCTTGTACAACTCACACAGCTGCCCGACACGGACAGGAAAATCGACTGGACGGATCTGCCGCAGCTTGGGTGGGTTCTCCGAGACTGGTTCAACTTTACGCCGTCTGAGAAGCACGCCAATGGTGCCGACGAGATATTGAGCGCCTGGGTAAATGTGAATGCTTTCTGGGCGCGGCTGGGCGGTCTCGAGTGTCTGAACACGGTCGATATCACAATCTGGACTCTGCGGCGGACCTTGGAGGAGGATCACGATGACGACGCCACAAATTTTCCCAATGTCTTTGACTGCCATGTACTCACGGCTGCCCAATATGTTGAGCAATCGGGGCCCAAGCTGAAAAAACTCATTCAAGATGGATGGAAACCACAGGACAATGAGGCACAAATGTTCCAGGGTGGCCCCCTCTTTGACGGGCCTACGGGCCTAACCAAGGAGCGATGGCAGTTCTGGGCATCGCGATTCAGGCATACGGCGGAGAAGGCTTCAGGCAACGATGCCAAGTCAGCTGCTACACGCGCAGCAGAGTTTTTAGAACAGTGAGAATCGCGACAGAGCCGAGTGGGGAGGAATAAAGTTAAAATCTCGGCATTCTAACTCTTGAACTACAATATTTGCAACATGATTTACTATCGTGAAGAGCACAGGCCGATTTTCATCAGGTCACGCAAGGCAAGTGTTGGAATTTGAGGCCAGTGCTCGAACCGAGTAAGCCGCCCACTAAATAGATAGCCTGGATGTTAACATGCGAATGCCATCGGTTGGTGATGAGATGGAATTCTGTATTTGGTCAAGACATTAAGCCAACAAGCACCTCGTATGTGGAAGCTTATTGTCGGTAGTTCACGGGCACATATACTATACTGATTTGAGATGGTCATGCGGAAATGTACCCGAGGTGCAGAGAAGCGAGCCAGACCCGGTTAATTCCCGCCGCATTCCATTCTTAAACCACCAAAATCTTACATGTTCCCCCGAATTATGTTGTTGCTCAAGCACTCTTCATTGTACTTGTCGAAACGAGAATGGCATCTCAATCTCGAAGCCACGAACTTGTGAGCCGGCGCAGTCAAGTACCACCGGATCCAGACCCGGCGCCGACTCCGGCTTTGCCGCCCATTTCTCACCGGAAGCAGGTTGCGGTGCTGTTGTCAGCCTTTGGCACTATAGCTCTCACTATAGGATACAATCAATGCTTTGGCGTTTTCCAAGAGTATTACCTGTCATCCGCCCAGGATGTCTTGGTGCCTTCTCCAGCATCAGAGGCCTCACCACCGACTGCAATGCTGGCTTTTGTTGGCACGTTATGTTATGGTCTCACTTGGAGTGGCGGTATCGTGGTTAATCCCGTCATTTCGCGCATCGACCACGGAAGCTGGGCATCAAACTCACCAACGAGTAGGCTTTGGCGCCGTCGCATATTGCAATTCCTGACTCCAAGAATGATCACCGTATCTGGAGTTTTGATCATGTCCACAGGCTTCGCACTGGCCTCGTTAAGCCACTCGTTATGGCATCTCCTGCTTACTCAGGGCTTCTTGGTCGGCGTTGGCATGTCCCTATTCTACTTTCCGCTTTTGGCTCCTGCGCCCGAGTATTTCACACGGCACCGAGCTACGGCCATGGGATTTGTAAGTTTCCACTCATGATTCGATTTGCAAATTTCAAGAAGGACTACACTACGCCTATCTGACGCAAAATGAGCGGGCAATGCTCGAATGGATTACAAAATTTGCAGGGACTGTTGTTGGCATTATTTCAGGTGATGTTACTAACTCTCCTAGATCCTGGCTGGAGCTGGCGCCGGAGGTCTCGTTTTTTCGCCAATAATACGTGCGCTTCTCAGCTCGGTCGGCGGCCGTTGGACCCTCAGAATCTATGCACTCATTAATTTGGCTGCCGGCATTCCCATCGCCTGCTCAGTCCCTCGAAGTCGATTTGCTCCCGCCTCCGCAGTGGAGCGCCCAGAGAGGCCCAACACCCATGTCTCTCGAGCCTTGGGTTCAAGACCAACGTTTCTCTTCTCCGTGGTGGCGGCGTTTCTTCAGGTCGGTACTCTGAAAAAGCCACAGTAGATACCTACATGAGAACTCATGTCTAATCCTCCCCGACTACTAGGCTGCTGGTGCGCAACTCCCACTGGCCTTTATACCCTCCTATACCGTAACTCTTGGGTTCGATGCTGCCAGGGGGGCCAACCTCCTTGCTGCCAGTAATGCAATAAACTCCGTCTCCCGCATCTTGACAGGATATGCCGGCGACCGCCTAGGTCGGCAGAATACCCTTCTCCTCACACTTTTGCTCGCTGCGTCCAGTGTTTTCGCCTTTTGGCTCACGAGCGTCATGGCAACCTCGTCATCGTCCACCTCGCTTTGGCTGGTCTTCATTGTCATGTATAGTGTCTCAGCTGGTGGATACTATGCCTTGTTCCCCGCTCTCATTGCCGAGGTGTTTGGCATCCGTCACTATGCCGCCGTGAACGCATTTATACTCTTCGTAAGAGGGCTGGGTACCATGTTTGGCAGCCCTGTTGGCGGTAAGCTACTTGGTACTTCAGGTGATGGCACGCGAGGGTATGCCAGTATCGCATACTGGGACGGGGCACTATTGCTGGGCGCCTTTGCGTGCTGTATTGGAGTGCGATGGGCCGAAGGGAAAGGGAAGGGATGGAAGTGGGTTGCTTAGCACAGGACCGCCTTGTCATCATTCTATCGATGCTGCTGTCATTTAAGTCCGAGTCAGCAGACTTGAATACTCAAATCAGCCAAAATGCATCCTTGAGATAATCTTGGCAGGGTTCTTAAGCACATTCTGTAGCACTCCACTCATATCAAAATATGTAAAATACGGGCATCTGGCTGAGACATTAGCTACTGCAAAGTACAGGCCCAATGTCGCCAATGAAAATTCAAGGAACCAATTTCTCTCATAATGTGCTTTACTGCAATCGCAAATGATCGAGTCATCTGTGTGGCCGATGTCTGTTGGAGGCTAGGGGGGACCAAGAGCATGGTTCATGCATTGGAAGTACTTGGTATCACTGCAGAACAAGCTCTAATATTCTAGTAACTATACAGAATATACTAAAGAGGGGTTATGCTGTATAACCGAGAGTGATGTAGATTGCGATCTCGCTAAAGCGGCGGCAGTTCACTCTCGGAGCCAAGATATGCAGACTGCATTGCCGACGTCTGGATCTATACCTATAGTGGCGTATGCCGTCATGAATGGAGCCCACGCTTATACGCCCTTTCCATTGGACTATAATCATGCAGTCATCTTGCTTATAGACTCTGGGCTATAAAGAGGGGGTTTCGACCAATTCTAAACTATCATTATTCAGATGTCTACTTTACAAGACAAAAGATCGCGCCAAATATGCCCACAGATAATATCAAATTGCTGAAGTCTATTCAGAAGGATGACTTTCCCACGGAATCGGATCGGTTCGAGGCCAAAGAGGCTGCCCGGGCTCTCCTTAGCCGACTCGAAACGCCTTTTGAAAGGGCATGGTCGCTAACGGCCGAGCAGCCAATGTATGTCGCTGGTCTTCTCCTGCTCAAGGATCTGGGGATCTGGACCAAATGGGCCGATCTCGACAGAGAAGATTGCCCGGCCGCATCAAGGTCCTTGACGGATATTCTGGCAATGTGTACCACCGCTGTCGAACCGAATCTTTTGCGTAAGTTATCTATATAGACACAACCTGTTGATTTGAAAGTCAAAGACCTGCCCATCTAATCCCCAAGATGGACTGACACAGGACGTATATTGCGGCATCTCACTGCATGTCACGCAGTCGAGGAAGTCGATGTCGATACTTGGAAGCCGACTGCTTTCTCCCTTGGTATGGGAGGTGAAATCGGCAAGATGATGCAGATGACGTGTGTATTCATGTCCTTGAACCAGTCCACTGTGCTGATATTATTCGAAGCATTGATCATTCGTGGCCCAGTGGTCTGCATCTACCCAAATTCCTTGCCAAGGTCGGCTATGTGGAACCGCTTAATCTCAGCAAGTTTGACAACTACACCGACGTATACGGGCTTCCATATTGGGAGCGATGCGAGAGAGAACCAGAGATTGGAGGGAGTTTTTGGGCATTAAGTGAGCCCTTTCTTACACTGCTTGGTACGAATTAAGAACGGATTGAGAGACTGATCATTTACAGTGGGTGGACTGACCGCCAACAAGATGGACTGGACAGCAGTTTATGATACGAACCGTCTTGTCGACGGTGCGGATATATCTTCGGCCCAGGCACCACCTCTTTTTGTCGATGTCGGTGGACTGCACGGCTTGGACACAAACCGTCTCCTCGCTCGTCACCCGTCCCTCCCGGCCGGCATCCTCTTTGTGCAGGATCTGCCCGGAATCGTGGACGCCCAAAACGAATTGGACCAGAAGGCTGTTCATGAAGGGAGACCGCGGCTAGACTCGCGTATTTCACGCATGAAGCATGATTTTTACAATCCGCAGCCTCTGCTTGGCGCCCGGGCCTATTTTTTGCACGCTGTTTTACATGACTGGCCAGATGCCGACTGCATCCGCATCTGTAAGTACCTAATTATGCGAATCGTCGGTTCATTTCTTCTGTTGCATGACGTCTCGAGCATAACGAATGAATCCTAACAACTATTTTTTGCGCTTGTCCTGCTGACCATAGACTTCGTAGTGGAGCGCATCAGGGACGCCATGACGAAGGGGTACAGCAAACTATTGATCTATGAAGTTGTCTTGCCACCCAAGGGGGCCACATCCTTTGCAGGAGCCATCGATATGTGTTTGATGACCATGACCTCGGGGAGGGAGAGAACAGAGGCAGACTGGAAGCAGATGATCGAGGCCGTCAGACTCAGAGTGGTTCGCATCGATCGACACGACAGGGCGGTAGAGAGCGTAATCGAGGTTGAGCTGGCTTGAAATACACTCAGCATTGTGTTTATCTCTATAAAAAGTACATCATGCATTCTGCGAAGTTCATACCTACCTAGTACCTGCGGTAATTCTTTTCAGTCAAGTGGTCAAAGATACTCTATAAGTGTATATTCTCTTTGCTTTATGCTGCAGTGGTATCTAGAACAATGTCCAAACGATGGGCCCTAATCGTTCATTTTAGTACCTTGGCCTATCCTAGGACCGGATACAACGTGACAGCTTTCCGATAACTATTCCTAAGGCACAGTGAACCAGTTTCGACATATTGCTTTCATTTATTATGGCACGTATAGCTCGCGGATCGAGTCTAATTCCTTCCTGATTCGTACCAGCATGTCTACTGGTACAGACATCAGTTCCGAGCAGTTTCTACACTATTAGGAAATCGCCAAACTGAAACAGGAAGTCTATCGGTTTTTCATTCCGATATCATGATCTTTACCTGCAATCGAGCAAGGTTTTTCTTCGCACCCTGTTCCTCGCCGATTTGGTAAGAGTGGCTAGTGTGGCGGGGCCGGTGAGCGGTCGAGTCGTGGGCTTATCGCTTTGATAAACATCATTGATCCCAGAATTTGAGACCCTGCCAAACATTGCTCATGTTTGCAAACTCCCCTCTGCTGTTTATCAATCTAGTGACCGACAAGCAATCGCCTTCGTTATAACCTTCACTTTAGGATCCTTGCTCTTGTGCAAAACCTTTCTGCCAAGGAAAGCCATTGCCTTTGACCAGTGTGGAGAGCATGTCTTACTCGTCTACCGAGGCCTATGAGTGGTACGAGAACAAGGAGTACAATATCAGAAGGCAAACTCTGCCCAGATTTGAGACAGACGAGCTTGGGAAACTCATCGTTACACCTGGCGAGGTATACTGTCGTGTTCACGTCGATGACGAAACTGACAACCTCTGCCACATCGACAAACGGTTCTTTAATCGAAGCAACCTTTGTAAACACATCAGAGTTGCACATGGCCTAGAAATCGCGCCTCATCCCCTCGGCGCCTTGTCTGACCGCAGGGACCACGCGGCTTTTGCATTCTATTATGGACTTCTTAAGCAAGCAGCTGGGAACAGCACAGTTATTTCCACTTCAAAGGGGGGGAATACGGCAGCCAATTTCGCCGAAAAGCGTATGGCCCACGATAACAATGATGGCGATCGGGAAAACATGAGGGGAATACCAAGCTATGCTCCGGGCGTCCGGTGTGCGGGATGCGAGGGCTCGTCTCGCCCAAGCCGGGCCTGCCCTACCACTGAGAGGGACGAAAGCTGCTTGATATGGGCAGCATACGCCAAGTCTATTGCCGGTCCCGCTGCGGCCCGCATAGCTGCCCAAGAAGTTCGCCTTGCCTCTGATTCCTCACACCAAGTAGGCCGTGTGCATACAACAGATCCATATCATGCTGTTTATGCTGAGAGGAGAGCAAAAGATGTTGTTTCTGCTCGACAATATTATCACCGATTAAGTGAGAAACTGCGACCTGCCTCAAAAAAGCTCTAGTTGGCAAAAATAATGCTATAAAATTTCTACCACGAAGCAAGACACTTGTCCCCACGATAAGGACTGAGGCCGATGGAGGATTACAACAGCATCAGTTGCAACGGCAATTTTTAGACTCACCAAAAGTCTGGTACTCTGAGATTTCTTTTACATTTGCATTGTAGCTACACGGACGATTTTCTCATCCTTTGCTTCTAATATGAAGCTATTGTTGCAATCTACCCAAGATACCTATTCCTATTCTATCTTCATTTTTGCTCTCGGTCCGTACAGCGGAATTCCACCGGGGCTATTCACGAGGTCTACCATTCAACAGGCCGCCTCCAGGCAACAGCAAAATTTTAAAGACCGAAATGGCCGTCAACAACTCGTTAAAAGTTTTGGACCTATCCTCTCTCACTTTGGGTGCTTGTAGCATCAACCCATGAAGGAATGCTGACCTGCCTCCGGATTTCGGTATTCGCCGAAACTTCCGACACAGTTGTCTTCATTTTGTCACCCGTGTCCAGTGAGTATAAAAAGACTGTTCAGGATTGTTCGCGAGAATTGCCGACAGGATCTGTCTGTTTTCCCCACCATTTAGTGAATGAGCAAAGCCAGCCAACTTTTATAATTTCACATTGTGTGTCCAGCCAAAGCCTGCATCAATTGTAGGAGATAATCAGAAACCCAATCATCATCATGAATTTTCTGCGCAGTCAACTCATTGAGACACGAAAACTGCCATATCCTGAACGCTCATATGCTGGAAAGACCATTGTCATTACAGGCAGTAATACAGGTCTAGGCAAGGAGGCAGCGAGGCACTATGCACGCCTAGGTGCCAAAAAGCTCATTCTTGTGGTCCGTAATATCGACAAAGGAAAGGACGCAAAGGAAGACATTGAGACCACAGCGGCGCCAGACGTGGACATTGACGTGTGGAAGCTCGATCTAGCGAGCTACGACGACATCCGAGCATTTAGCAGTCGCCTAGAAGCAGAACTGGATCGCGTCGACATATTCCACGCCAATGCCGGCCTGGTCTCTGCAAAATACTCTCAAGTCAACGGCGTCGAGACCAATATTTCCATCAACGTCATCTCGACCTTTCTGCTGGTTGCGTCCGTCATGCCCAAGCTCAAGGCGTCGGCGGCAGAGTTTGGTATTCGCCCGACCCTCACCATTACAAGCTCCGGTTCTCACAGGCATACCCAATTCCCGCAAAAGTCGGAGCCCAGTGTATTTGCTTCGCTCAATGACAAGAACTATGCCAACGGTGTCCACTGGCGTGAGCAATACCCCATTTCCAAACTCGTGGGCATTTTTGTCGCCCGCGCCATTGCGGAAGAATACCCTGCAGATTCCTACCCAGTCACCATCAACCTCATCAATCCGGGCTTGTGTCATTCCAATCTGGCACGTGAGGCGGAGGGCATTCAGAAGTTTGCATTTTCTGTGACCAAGACTGCTCTTGCGAGGTCCACCGAGCAAGGAAGTAGAACGTTGGTCCATGGAGGTAGTCAGGGTGCCGAGTCCCATGGGAAATATCTGGAAGACTGCCGAATCACCGAGCCATCTTCTATTGTATTGGAAAATAAGCAGGTTCAAGACCTCTTGTGGTCAGAATTGCAAACCCTGTTGGAGGGTATCGCGCCGGGTGTAACGAGGAACTTTTAGATCCATTTATTTCACCCGAATTGGTGTAAAAGTCTTGCCCTTGGTAAATACGGCTGCGTCGGAAATGAATACCAGTCTCCATGATGGTGCTTGGAGGCAGAACTAGATCAATGTTTCTCGGGTGGAGTTTGTCCGGTAGACTGATGATGAAGGCCCCCAAGTATTATGGCGATGATAATATCTAGGTACAACATAGCCGGATCGTATATGTACCTAGGTATTATTCCAGGTCTTTTACTAAAGCAGGAAAGTGGGGGCGACAAGACGCGGATGGTCAACCATATTTCCTAGATTGGAGGACGACAGTTCATGTTATTGGCCGAGGCCACTTATTCCTGGTAGCAGGAGTCCCGCATAGCAGTCAAGGTCCTTCTATGGAATATGATACTTTTCTTTTCATCAAAGGAATACATTTTTTGAACGGCGACTGTGGGTGCCTGCATTTGCTGTGAACCATGATGCGGGCCGCCAGCGTAGATATCATCAATTTGACGTCGCAGAACATGGCCCAAGTCATATGCCCCCATTCGTTTCGAAAAGGGGATGGCTGCCACTTTCAGATATTCGTTACAACCGAGTTCTCAATGAGTATCCGCCGGGTTGGTGAATGAACAAGCGGACATTGATGACGCATGACGACATCAATCGTGTAAACTATGGCTGCATTGATACTTTACCCAAGCCGAAACACAGCGACATGTTGGAAATAAGCAGTTTCCAGATAATTGCACGTATATTATAGTGGGTGGCGCGTGGGCACGGTGCCTCTACCTACTTCCAATTCAACCTCTACGAAGCAGATTGCACAAGTGATGATTTAGTAGAGTCTCTCTACCCTCGGACTAGACTGTGTCATCCAATGAATGCTTTTGCAGGGCTGAAGTGCGCCAACACGCTCATTATCTTACTACAACAACTTACCTTTGCATAGGAGCATGGTACTTGGTATCCTCTATTTGGGGCTGTCTCGGGAAGCCTTGGGCATTGGTTGGCTTGATTCGCTGAGGTCTTTAGTGGCCATTTCCGGTTATCCCCATACTGTGCTGGCTGCATTTGCTTGTCGTCTCTGGATAGTCACTCGACTGCAAAGCCGCTGGACCATGAGAGGCTTTCTCATACCTGTCGAGGGCCATCCGTCAGTTATGTGGTGTCGGACCTCCAGCCCTTCCTCTGCCTGCTCACTGAGATTACTTTGACGTAAACATGGCGCAGCAGTAGATAGGGTTAATTGATGAGGTAGGTGGACTACTGGTACTATTGTTTAATTCCGGGGGAATAAAAAAGAAAAAGTCTATTTTATGCCTATGTTAAAGAGATAGGATACCCCAAGCAGATGGAAATGTCGAGCAGCACCGGTCTCATCGGCGCAGGATCGAACCGGTGGCACTAATAGCAATGGCAGGTCAAGTTTGAACCTGGAATGGGTAAAGATGCCCTACTAAAACTACTAGGTAGCGCACTGGTTTTATTAGAGAGAGACTAGATTCACCTACTACCAGCTACTACTGCTGCCACCCAACCACCAAACAAGGTCAGCCAGTCATCCATACAGCCCAGCCCTATCCTCTATTACTTCCATGCCTTTTCTTTCCGCGAAATTTTTACATGTCGATCGCGTCCTGATCGATCAGTCGATTGGAAACCATTGGGTTGCGGGCAGCCAGAGGTAGGCAGGGCATGCAGATCTAGTTAAACTAGGTACGGAATACTACATTATGCACCCTCAATTGTCTGCTGCAACTCATATATGCATTCACTCACACATCAGACGAATTCCGCGCCGGAAACGCAACTGGTCTTGGTATTCTTGTCCGCGACCACGCATCTGGCATGACTTTATCTGGATGGAAGACGCCGGCGCAGACAAGGTCCGGTCTTGGAACATGGATCTTACAGGACTCGGCAGAGGGTAGGTATTCCGTACCGGATGTAAGGGACTTGACTCTCGCAATGTTGACTCGGTCATGCCCTTTTAGAATCTGGCCGGCAGCGATTGCTCACAATGGAGCAAGTGCGTCCTTCAGACGACCGGACGGGGGAGGGGGGAATCTGTCGTTGATCTACGAGGTAACCAGTCAGGCCGCTGGACATTGGCATGACACCATTGTGCTGATCGAGGTGATCCCATCCCGCAATGCATAAATGCATCGAGATGTTCTGAAACCGAGGTGCCGAGCCATTGCCGTGGGACCATGGGCACCCAAAGTCAAAGCACGGTTGTTGGCATTTGTCAATAATCTCCATGCTTGCCTGAACACCGTAGATTGAATGTCTGAACAAACCCCAACTGAGACGAAACCGGTTGTTCTTTGCGAGGTTCATAATATGTACATGGTCCCAGGTAATAAATATAAGATGTGTGCGCCCCACCGGCACGCACGAGAAGGAACACCGGGGCGATGAACGTTGCGCCTCTTGATTTCCCGTCTTTGCTGCCCGTTCCAAGTCCGTGGTTAGGCGAAGTGCTATGTATTAATCGCGGATCTGCGGACGGACCTTTGTGGCCGTACCTGGGCCATGGGGTCATAGTGAGGAACACGAGAGGCCATCATCCTACTTGGGTTTGTATCTCTCCCACTCTCCCTCTCTGAAGGTCTTTGATCTCCAAGTGCTCTTTGGGAGAGTAGGTACGTACCGGATCAGGGGCACGAGCCAGGAGCCCATTTAAAGACCTCGTGGCAGATGGATGCAGAGAGGGCAACCCTGGGCAGAGGGAGGGGACTGCAAAGGGGCCCCAAGAACACCCCTGCATCTCCAGACCGGGGCCCTCCGATGGCTTCCAATTGGGCCCAAGCCAGCTTGGCCAGCTGCCAGCTAACCGTGATAGCACACGAGGTCTGGCAACGTATCACCGACCTTGTTAGTGGTAGGTAGGTCACCTAGCTGCTAGGTGCATTTTACACTGGGGCACGCCATCTCTTGCTGGAAATCACGCCGAGGGTTCTTCCCTGCGTTGACAGGGGCAATTCAGGGCACCCGAAGAGCCAGAACAGTCCGTGATCAGTGCGCCGGAGCACTAAAAGAATGACCCCATTTTGCCACTGCTTGCCTGTCCCAGCTCCTCTTTCGCCTCTCAAGCACAGCAGTCAACAGTTTGCTCTTTGGCTGTCGTTAGTCGTCAGTCGTTTGGCAACACCAACAAGGTTTACGGCGTACTTCCCTAATAAGCTCAATTGCAGCGTGTGCAAAGGACCGAGCAGACATTGCAGATCGGGAGATGGGCAAGACGGCGGGCGGGCTCAGACAGCACATCTCCTCATCCTTGTCTAATTCACCAGAACCAGCCAACAGCGCTCGCAACGCAAGCCTATCGCGTGCTGAGCCGTCTCATTGCTAAATCTGCCCGTTGGATTGGGGTTCTAATCTCGATGGCCCGTCGGTCGCATTGATTTGCGACGGACGAGCTCTCTGCGATGATTTTCTGGCGCCACTTTGCCCGCTGGGCCCAACAGCTCCAACTCCAGCTCCATATCCGGTTCTATACTAGCAACTCTAGCTCTAGCTCGAACCAGTGTAGTGTAGCTCCAGTTTGCCAGTTCCTTCGTCTGTCCGCTGCTCATCTTTCGACTCAGCTTGTCTGCTGTCTGGCTGGTTGAATGGGCTGGTATGTAATAGTCTGGCTGCATGTAGGCCGCGAAAGGTCCAGACGATCAAAGAGGTAGAGGAAGACTGGAAGAATGCAATGAAGCATTTCGATTCATGCAATGTCACCATTCTAGTGTAGTCTAGCCCCTACCCCCTTTTTTTTTTTTTTTTTTTTTTTCTTCCCCCTCTCTTTTCCATGCTTCTGCCATTCAACCGCTTGTAACAAAACTGCTGCCCCGCTGCCGACAGACTTTCCCACCGACACACCACTGGACCCCTCCCGTTTGTTGGCATAGATTCTGGAACCTTTGCCTAACACGGGTGGTGTCCCCTAGGGCCCCTGCCACTTCTGCCCGCTATCAGAGGAGGAGACGAGAGAGATGTCCGACGGGTCCCAGGTCGACAACCAACGTGCGCCCAGCCGATAGACAGGTACGATCACTCTTTCGGGTCAAGTCAATCATTCCCTGGGACAAGCCCACACTTTTTTTTTCTTTCTTTCCTATCCTGCTCATATCCCTCCCCTTGACCCTGTTCTTTTCTTTCCCAGCTCAGTCCTGTCCCCAACCTTTCCTATATTGCTTCCACGCCCCCGTCCACATCGAGCGAGGCGAGCAACAGCTGCACGCGCGTGTGTGTGTGTGTGTGCAGTATATCTCTCCAAGACATTCCAACGACATTGTCCTATACACTCATTTCCTACCGGACACTTTCTCGCTGGTTTTTTCAACTCCAGGGTTTGAAACAACAACTCTAGGTTAGGGAGCAGCAGGACAATTACAGAAAAGCAAACTATTACCATCTCGCTATAATACAAGAGGGCGGCATTGATCAACGCTAAACCGAAACACCCGAGACAAGCAACAACACATCAGACGAAGAAGACTGGGGATACGTATATACATACAAAGCCACCATCTCCCGCAGTACCGGCTCGTCTTGTCCCTTGCGGTTCTCGGTGCACCGTAGCAGCTCCTTGTCATTCACGTCTGTGACGATTCACAAGAATACAAGAAGAGAACAGAACGGCGCAAGAATCTCTCATTCCATCTTCACCAAGCTAGAAACTATACAAGACTATATAGACGACCGGATAGCAAATAACGCCGAGTAAAGAGTAGAAGAAGAAGAAGTAACAATAACAACAACATGGGTTTCTTCGACAAGATTCAGGCAAAGCTTGAGCTTTACCGGCTCGAGCAGCGTTATACGCGCAACCGCAACCGACGCACCACCTTTACCAGCAATGCAGTCTACGTGGACGGTGAGTACGTCTTCAACAGCCCAAACACCACCGGGTCGTCTTCTCGCAGCGCTGCGTCGTCGTCACCAAACTCTCCCTCAGAATACGACGTTGAAGAACGCCAACAACGACCACGGGAGAAGCAGTCCCGCCGCCGCAAGAGCATTGAGGAGCCCCGGTCACCGGCTTTCGACGTCGAGACTCCAACGCTTGCGCAAAAGAAGAAGCTCAACCGATTCTCCTCCATGCCCGGCTTTGGCAGTTCGCCCAAGACGAGCGGTGCCGTCGACAGCTGGAGGATGAACACCGTCGACGTCCGCGAAGTCCGGTAGAGGCCATGGACTCGAGAAGAAAACAAGGACAAAAAACCAAAGCAACAATAAGAAACGAGCGGGACTCTTCCTCCCTAGCATGTGTTGTCCATGAGGACAACTTTGTCACGATTATGACACATTTCAACTTTCCGAACATGCCAGCTTTTCGTTGGATATATTATACCATTTTCACCTTATTCTTTCACCAGGTCATCTGGCCGGGTAGCATTGCTACCGGGATGACCATCCTTCTCGCATTAGAAGGTGCTCACGCAGATCCCTCCGCGCATATCTCCCGTCCGAAGCCCGGGGCGGGAGAAAGGAGCGATCAACGCCGCCACGGTGCAATATCGCGGCGCGGTTTGCCGGCTGCCAAAAATAGGACCGGCTCTGCCTGCCTACGAAACGTCGTACCATTTACCAACTACGATCTATTAAATACCCCAACAACCCTAGTTCCATTCTCTTCGTTTCCATAACACATAAGTATGCCTAGAAGAACGCATACTGGAAGCATGGGCGACAGCATTGGTCGGGCGACGATATCATGTCGGATACACATGAAGAGATGGAAGAAACCCGTTTTTTTTCCTCCTCCATTTTCGTCATGTATATAACAAGTATCCTTTTATTTACGACTGAACATGACTCACCTGAACCATATCAAAATGTGTAAACCCGTTCCAAAAGACTGTGCAGACTTGTACCGTTCACCAATGATCTTTGTGCTGTAATACTTGATATTAATCACTGAAGACGGGCGACCGATCAATGGATTACCATTGCCACTACAAAGGGTGAATCGCCATACTCCATTGCAGTGGTGGAAAACATGATTGAATCAAACTAAAAACGGCAAACCAAACATTCAAACTATCCTGAAGCCGTGGATGGACAAATCCAGGTATCGATCTGATTTATCCCCCGTCCATAACTGTGTGAATCCCAACCGGGATCCTAAGACCAAAATGCAAAGTGTTCATAACTCCTGTCTTTTTATCGATTATTCGAAATCATTCAATGCATCGCCCTGAACCGCTGACCATGAAAACGAAGTTTTGAGGGACCGACCATGCCAACCGATTTTTCCCAATCCATTAAACACACCCGATCACCAGGAATGCAAGCAAGACCCAAAACAAACATGAGAAGGAAGAAAGTGATGCAAATACCTAATGCCACCATGAAGGACAATACTGAAACCCGCCGGATTTCCTCGCACGCCCCAAAAGAAAAACTCATACGAGACGGCTCATTGCTCGTCATCATCAAAACGCAGACGTATCGTCACGACTGCATGGTGATCGAGCTGGACATGCGGGGCATCATTGTCGGTCTCCCGGGGTGCTGGTTCGGGTTCAGAATACCACCCATCGTCGGCAGACATGTAGTTTGGCATTGTGGCATATGGGCTGGTTGGGGATGCAGAGAATGCTCTATTCTCCAAAGCGTGTCCCATGGGAGTCGTCGACACGGGCACAGACGTTGGGTTTGACTCTTCCGGGGCATGAGGAACGTGTCTGTGGGTGGCCGGTACTCTGGTATTCATAGGAATTTCGACTTGGGTGTTGTTATTGACACTTTGCTCTGGCGACTGCAGAGCTGGCCTGGCAACCACAGCGTGTTCAATGTGCCAGGTTCGGGGCACGTCGTCGCCGTCTCTGCCCGAGTGAGGAGGCGTCGGCTGATACGCCGTCACATAGTCTGGGTCCAGGCCAGTGTACTCGAATGATGCCGGAGCAAAGCCAGGTTGGTCTAGGGCGGACTCATCTTGCGTCTCATGCGACGGGTCTGCGCGCTCCTCGCAGTCTGTTGCCAAGTCGAGAATCATACCATGAGATGATGATCCCCGACGTCTTCTGGCGGGCATCCGGCGTGGCCTGTGCTTGTGTCCTTGATTTGGTGTTGTTGTTGATGATCCCTCCACGTTTGCTGCATTCCCGCCCAGTGAGTGGTCTTGGGGAAGAGCATTCATGTCATGGGGAGAGCGGAGCCTGTCGTCTACATGGGACGACATGATGACAATATGTGAGCAGAAAAATTGAGAATATTCCTTGAGTTGAAACGTCGGGGATATCAGGGGAATGGATAACGAAGAGCCACGGATAATCTTGTTTATGAAGAAGCGTCCTTGACCACGAGAAGGAGTTTGTCATGTGAGCTGGGAATTGGGGGAAACCACAAAACTTGGCTAGGAGCGGGGTGAAGCTGTTATTATATAAGGGCCGTAGCTGCAGGTACACTACAAGAGGGCGGTGGTCGATTGGATGCCCCCAAATTTTGAGTTCACCGAGGGTTCGTAGTGGCGCCGATGACTTCCACCTTTGCGGCACTGCCAACAATATCCAGCTAAACGAATAGAACTTGTTCCTCATATTCGCCGTGGGTATTTCCATGCCACTGTCCTCAGCGAACTAGCTTCTAATTCAGTTGATCCTTTCTCCGACAGTGCAATCTGCTGTGAAGGTTGGCAAAAAGGTTATAATTTGGAGTCCGGGCTCGGCTCGTCTCTCCGGCGCCGAATTAATATAAACTCGGCATTGTGCCAAGACCCAATCAAACTTGATGGTGAGTTGGGAAACTTGCCCATCCAACATCGCCATATGCCCTCAAGGTGTCTGCTTGGACGGATATGCCTTCAAATCAAGGACAGATTCGGCTGCAGGTCCTTCTCATATGAGTGGTTGCCTACCAGGGTATTACCTGAGATGATAATTACTGTCCCTTTCTCCGACTCATCACATGAATATGGAAGCAGAAAGAATTTTTGTGTGACCCAAGAGACTTTTGTCCAGAATTACAGGACATCTGGTTTCTATCACTTTCCTGGGTGTGTAATCATTCATCCAAACCAAATCCTTCACGGTGGTAGTGGGATATTTACTCCTGCGGTCCTGCGTTTGCTTTATCAATGTGATGTATATTATTGTCTATCAATAAATCCCATGGGATCATAATGTTGTGTATCATTCCAGAACTTAGTTGAATCCCTTGAATACAGTCGTGCACTCGACTCCATCCAATGAGGTTTGATTAAAGTTGAGACAATAGACCTGATTCGTGCCATTGGGGCTCAGCACGTCAAACTCGGTCGATACGATATTGGAGCAGGCCGTCTCGGAGCTGCAGGCAAACGTCGCCACCTGCGGCTGGTACTTGCTACTCGTTACGCCCTTGAAGTTGTTGAAAACGACATTGGTAATGGTCAGCGGGCTGGGGTACTCGAGGCAGAGGGTCAGGTTGCTTTGGCCGTAGCACTGGTCGACCTCGATCGAGTAGTCGACATTGTCAATGGTCCAGTCAGTGTAGGTGATGTTATTGACGCGCCCGTCGCCACCTCCGCCCTGTAGATCGCCTGACAGAGCCGAAGGGGTGTTGGGCCAGATCTTGATACGAGCTCCGTCCGTCGCATTGTGCATGGAGATGTTGGCGACGTAGATATTCTCCACAATGTCATAGTGGCCGACATATTGTCCTAGTGAGCCGACACTGATGCCGTGGCTGCCGTTACAGAAGAGCGACTGGACCAGAATGTTGGTTGAGTTGGGCTTGAAGGAGACGCAGTCTAGGCAATGTTCATTAGTCACATGGGGGCACAGAAATTACCAGGACAAGTAGAAGAAAATCGCAGCTCACCATCGCCATTGTTGATGACCGAATTTTGAATAGTGATACTGTCACTGCGGTATGTATCCCACCCATCGGTATTTTTGGCTGTGACCGAGGCATTTCTACTGCCTCCAGCAATATTGATATTGTCAAAGACAACATTGGATGAATTGGCAATAAAATGGTAGTACTCGGGCGAGTATCTCAATACCAGGTCGGCAATGATACTGTTGTTGAGACCGTCAATGCCAAACAAGACTGGCCGCAAGGTATAGATATTTGCGGCATAAGCCTCGTACCACACTTGCCCGTTGCCGTCAATGGTTCCTCCTGAAGATTGATGGATTAGCTCAAAAGTTTGACCAGTAGAGTTCAACGGTTGAGTGACGCTTGTCATGTGAGGTTTACGTACCTCCGTAGATGAAGACGTCGTTGCCTCCGAGCTTGAAAAACGACGTTACATTTTGAAAGACAAATGGGAAAGAATTTGCCTGCCAATAGTCGGTGTCATTGGTGAAGAGGATCTTGCCCTGGATGTCTGAGGACAACTGCGTCAGCCATAATGTATTTCTTCAGCTTTGGTTTTCCTCTAAAGATACTCACCAATATCAATGGAGTTGAGAAAGGTCCAGTCCATGGCCGTTCCGATAATATAGGTATCATTTTCCCGGAACACAACATGTCCCCCGTTGTTGCATTCATTGAAGGCATCCAAGATGTAGTCCGAGTCATCCGTGACACCATCCCCGTGGCTCTCGACAAAGCAAGTCTTGCAACGCTGCTTGGGATTTGGCGGTGCCGTCGAGGGTGTTTCGGGTGAGTATATGATGTCTGGGCGCGGGGACACGTGATCGTCTCTCTTGTGAACGCCCTTTGAAGATGGCGAAGCCGTGGCCGAAGCAAGAAGCGGCAACACGCCGGCGAACGTCGAGTACCTCATTATCACGAACCAATGAAACTTCTATCGTATTTACAGGGTGTTTCAAAGTCTTTGCTGTAGTGGTAACAAGTTTACAGGTCCATACAAGAGCACAATGAGGCTGAGAGAAAAAGACACCTGGACCTCCTTGCTTCTCTGCTCGCATCAAGGCCTATTTATGTTGCTCGCGTGGGCTGGCCATGGCACACCGACCCCAGGATTATAATGGACTCGCGGTACTCGGAGATGAGGCATCGCAAGCGAACATACAACCGATTCCATGCTAGTCAGGATGTTTCTCCGCATGACGGGCAGGGCTGCCAGGGCCTTCCCCAACTGCAAGCGTTCAAAGCCCCTCACCCAGCGCTGCGGCACGGTCAGCACAGGGGGTTCTTCGTCCACTATAAATTACGGTAACGCGTGAGCTATGCGGATGGGAATCAACCCCATTGGTGGAATATGTCCTTCAAGGGCTCCCGCCAGTTATACGACCTTACGCTATTTATTTCAAATGAGAGGATCATCACCATTCACTAGGGCCCATTCAAAGACGTCTGCTGTCATTTGGTTACTGGTATATTGAATAATGATGAAGAGATGATAATCGATATGCAAAGTCCCATGAGCGTCAATATCTTTGCAATCTAGAGCCGTAGATGACAACTTTCAACTGTGATGATAACACTCACCGTCATGCAGCTGCCAAAGCCACATCGATACCTCGGACTTTTTTTTTTCCCCCTCCCCTCCCTTGGTAGACCACCACGTGCTTGTGTAGGAATTTAATGATAGAGCCATTGGAACGAGATGTCATATATGTGTGTTTGGGATTTGCATTCAGCGAGATATTTACTACATGTCGTTTTACATTTCAAACATGCCTTGCGGCCTCACAACTGCCTTTAAATCTCTACAATGTCGGCTTATTCTTTTTTATCTCCCACAGCAGCATCCTTTACATCGTCGGTACTGAATAGAGTTTCTTGGGCTATCGTCATGCCAGTCAGTATATACAAGCCAGTAAATATGGGAAGAGGGAGGGGGTAATCGACTTACCACTCCAGAGTTCCGAGTACAGCCCGCCACGATCAATGAGCTCTTTGTGCGTGCCCATCTCGGCGACATTGCCCTCTCTCAAGACGATGATGAGGTCGGCGTCATATATTGTCCTTAGACGATGTGCAACGAAAACACTTGTTCTAGCCTTTTCTTTAAGAATGCTATTGATGTTTTGCATGAGCGTTTGCTCCGTGTGGGTATCCAGTGCACTGGTTGCCTCGTCAAAGAAGAGCAGTGGCGGATCCTTTAGTATGAGCCTCGAGACAGCCAGGCGCTGCTTTTCGCCACCACTGATCATCATTCCTCTCTCGCCCACCTTTGTGTCGTAACCTGCAGGCCAACTGGCGATGATGTCGTGGATCCGCGCTCTCTTGGCCGCTGCGATGATCTCGGATTCGCCGGCAGCCATATTGCCATATTTAATGTTGTGTCCAACCGTATCATTGAAGAGTGGTGTATCCTGGGGAACAACACCAATGGATTGCCTCAGCGAATCAAGAGTGACGCTCTTGATTTCTTGGTCGTCAATGAGTACGCGGCCGCTGTCAACGTCATAGAAACGGAATAGAAGTCGGAGCAGCGTAGACTTTCCACAGCCACTGGGCCCAACTATGGCAATCTTCTTGCCGGCGGGAATCGTGAGATTCAAGTTCTTTAGAATTGGACGATCCTTGAGGTAGCCAAATGACACATTCTCAAACTTGATCTCGCCTCCCTTGACAAGCTGGAGTGGTTTGGCATCGGGGAGCTCCTTGATGGACACGTTGACCTTTTGTAGATTGAACAGTGTCTCCATGTCTAGAAGAGATTGCCTAAGCTCGCGATATACGGATCCCAAAAAGTTCAGTGGCACAGACAGCTGGAAAACTAGCTGGTTCACCATGACCAGGTCGCCCACGGTCAATGAGCCGGACGCCACACCGTTGGCTGCAAGGTACATCATGGCTGTCAATGCGCTGGAAAATATGATGTTCTGGCCACTGTTCAAAAAGGCCAGCGAGGTGGCGACCTTTATGGAGCTCTTTTCGTAGCCGAGTAAAGCTTTATCATAGCGCGCAACTTCAAACTTTTCATTATTGAAGTATTTGACAGCTTCGTAGTTGATCAAGGAATCAACAGCAATGGTTGAAGCCTTGTTGTCGGCAGCATTGGCCTGTCGGCGAAACTTTGTTCTCCAAGCGGTTGTCCAGATGGTAAAGGCAGTGTAGGCTGTCATGGTCAAGGCCGTGATGGCGGCAAACTGTGCTCCGTATTGGTAGGTCAAGATGCCGCAGACCATGGTGATCTCCAGGGCCGTAGGCAGAATGTGAAAGACCATACTGGTCAAGAGGAAGCTGATGCCCTTGGTACCACGATCGATGGCCCGGGTGAGACCGCCGGTCTGCTTTGTGAGGTGGAAGTTGAGATCCAGCCTCAGCAGATGATCGAAGACGTTGGCCGCGACCTTCCGAATGGCCTTTTGTGCCACACTGGCGAAGACTGCATTTCTCAGCTCTTGAAAGACGGTGGCGCCTATCCTCGTTGCGCCGTAGGCCACAATCATGCTGCCGGCAATCATGGCGGCATTACCACCCATAGCACCGACATCGATGTTCATGGCATCCACAATGCTCTTGAAGTAAAAGGGCACCTGTACATTGAGTACTTTTGCGCCGATCAAGAGGGTGACAGCTAGGCCGACTCGAAGCTTGGTAGACAGGCTGTCCTTGGGCCACAAGTAGTGAGCCATTTCTTTCATGATGGCCCAGTCGGCCTTTCGCTGCTCCTGCGCGCTCTTCTCTACCGTGGCCAAAGGGTCCTTGGCGGACGTGGCGGGCTTTTTGGGTGTCTCGGCGACCAGTTTCTGTACATCCTTTTGAGGTGCGTTCGTTGTCGTCGTCGTCGTGGTTGTCGTTGTTGACGCGTTATTCGAGGCATATCGTTCAAGGGCCAGCCTCTGCGATGTCGCAGCGAGGGGGACCCGGGTGGGAGCTCCGCAAGGCCGCCGAAGCAGTGACAGCGACTGAGGGACCAATTGGGCCCTGAAAAGTCCGATACATGTCGGGCGCGAGGTAGGAGCCCTCCCAAGACTCCTGACAATCATTGCGTTCATCCCTCGTGCGCAGTCATTGTTGGGCAGGTAGGTCTTATGGCGGGGCTTCTCTATCGATGGCGGGGAGGGAGGGAGGGAGGGAGGTAAAGAGCGGGTAGGTCTTGGAAGATGACTGCCGGGCCTTCGTCGGTCGCGTCGTACGGCGAATACCCTAAACTGAGCCTATGCACTTGAGAGCCAAAAAGATGCTCTTGGAATATACAAATGCAAGTATATGAAGTAGTTTTTGGGAATTGGTGTTATACACCTAAATGAAATGGCGAGCAAGGAAGGTATGTAAGCCATGCCGCCGCGAGAATCTCGAGCTCCAAAGAGCTTCGCAAGCTGGAAATTTGCGGAGGACCCTGATGTCAGCTCAGCCCCAAATTGCACAATCGCGTCCATTTGAGGCACATTATACTAGGATAGGTGATTCTGGGCGTCAAGGTCGTCGAGGGGGCCGGGTATTGCAGGACGCTAGAACCAGGCTTCTGGCAGGGGAGAATTGCGCAACCAGAAGTCTCAATTACTAGCTAGCAGCAGTGCTTGTGTTCCCTGGAGCCTACATTACATACCTACCTTATTTATCGGTCAGTAGCAGGACTAGGTAGGTACACGATAACACCGGTAGTATGTAGTGGATGCAATGTAAAGATACCTTGGACCAACTCGTCTCAATCTTTAGTGTTAATTCAAGTGGAATATGATTTAGACATCCGAGTATTTGAATGAGTATCTACTTGTGTACTATGCATACAGGTAAATACCTGACCTATGTAGGCACTCTCTCGTGCACTCTGTCGGCAATGGAACCCAAAAGTCTTTGGTGGGCACGTGGGGAAAGCTCCAGTGCGGGATGTCACGTATTCTGAACGACTATCCGCAAATCAGTCTGAGATGCTTCTTGACCGACATGCGATCTTGCAGTTGTCGTGAACGTCCAAATGTGTTCCAAGATATTCGCACCAGGTCTGCGGTGAACTACTCCTATTCTTTGGGATTGTGAATGTGCAAATCTTACGGAATGCATTCTCTGCCCAAAGTACATTGGTATATATATATGACAGTTATCTCCACATTCCCAATAAAGCTACAGCGTCCATACGTCTGTCTTGCCGAAGCCCTGCATTCGTAGTATGCACACCACAAACAGACAGCAGGACAGCACACTCACTAGTCAGTACCTAGTAAGGTAGTATATTGTACTGACATGCCCACTATCCCCGTATTTCCGCCTCTGCATAGTTCAGTGAGAGTCTTTTTTCAACTTGCTGCCTGGACTGACTTGTGGGCATGCTCTAGCGTTTATTCACAAGTCATGTCTCGCGCTCGTAATACCGAGCCAGCTTCGGAAAGTGGCGGACGACTGCCCACAAGGCCCGAGCTAGCACCGCGGCCGACACGCGGCGCTCCGGATTCCGAGTATCGGTTCCCGGCCTTACAACGGGGGATTGTTTCCCCTTGGTTAGAGCTGGATACATACCACTTAGAAAAAGAACGCAAGCCCCCCCCATGGGACGTCTCTCGCTCTCTTATCAGATCAATCAGATTAACTGCGTTATTGGGTGACTTTTGTCTTGTTTCCTCTCTTTTGACATCCTTTCTGCATCATTTCTTCGGACACAATAAAAAAAAAAAAAAAAAAACGATTGTGTCTTCCCCCCATTCATTATGGCTGCAGCGCTAAAGAATGTGATCGTCGTTGGCGGCTCCTATGTCGGAATGGTATATTGACCATACATGCATTCAAGTCTGTAGACATCATGGCTAATTCGTTATACACAGGCAACGACAAAAGAACTGGCCTCCATCCTGCCTGCTACTCATCGTGTAAGAGCTGGCCTTGCCTTGATATCATATTGGCAGACCTATCAGACTACAGACTAATACAACATTAGATACTGCTCGTTGAGCCGCATAGCCATTTTCACCACCTCTTCGCTTTTGTGAGTACTTGCCTGATCAGTCATTGGAGGTTGTCTTGAGAGCATCAAGTCTGAATACCACAAAGACTAAGGACAAAAAGTGCTTGAAAATCCAATCAAGTTACAGGAACTGACACTCTGAAAAAAACAAGCCTAGATTTGCAGTCCTGCCATCGCATGAGCACAAGGCTTTTATCCCTTACACATCAACATTCTCTTCAGTACAAAGCCCAGTACAACATGCCGTCGTAACAGCAAGAGTAGAATCCCTACGTGCTGACAGTATCTTGCTTGATCGGGAATGGCAAGGCTCCAGAGAGATCCCCTTTGACTATCTGGTCGTGGCGTCGGGCACCAAGCTTCAGGCGCCCGGCTCCATGACGGAGGACGATAAACTGTCATCCGTCAGGTATTTCCAAGCCTATCAGAAACGCATCACAAACGCAAAGTCGGTCATCATTGTCGGTGGCGGAGCAGTTGGTGTGCAGATGGCAACCGATGCAAAGGAACTGTACCCAGAGAAGGACGTTACGCTGGTCCACTCTCGCCAGAAGCTGATGCCATTGTATCACGAACAGCTCGACAGAATCATCAAGGACAGGTGCGAGGAATTGGGCGTCAAGTGAGTATTTTTCCTACCTACTCTGTTTTGCGCTCACATAAAACTGACATTGCTCGTTAGCCTTGTACTTGGTTCGCGAGTCGTCATGCCAGCCGGTGGCATTGGCGCAGACCAAACTTCAATTGAGCTCCAGAATGGCACAAAGCTGTCCGCAGACGTGATTGTGCCTGCCGTTGGTCAGACGCCAAACACGCAATTCCTGTCGGGTCTTGCTCCGTCATCCCAAGATTCGCTCGTCAACCCGGCCAACGGTTTCATTCGCGTGAAGCCAACCTTGCAGCTGGCAGACCCAAAATATCCCAACATTTTTGCCGTTGGAGATGTCGCAGACAGCGGTGCGCACAAGGCGGCACGTCCGGGTGGAGCTCAGGCCGCGGTGCTCGCCAGGAACCTGGTTGCCATGATTGAGGGCAAGGAGCCGAGCGAGAACATTGTCGTGAGCCCGCCTGCCATTCACCTCAGCCTTGGTTTGGTAAGTAATCTCTCGAGCGTGCGCAGCTTCCACATGTGCTTGTGCTGGAACTGACAACATGATGCAGACCAAGAACTTGGTTTTCAGAAACCCCAACCCAGCTGAAGGTCAAACGGAACCAATGATTAAGCACAGAGATGAGTAAGTCGAAAGACTCCGATATTCAGTCTTCGAACCCGTACTAATATTCTACAGCGGCAAGAGGGACATGGGCATTGAGGGTGTTTGGGAAAGACGCGGTATCAACGTCACGGACCCCGCCCAATACCACTTGTAGATCTAGCATTCCTGTAATTTGACTCGGGGAGACTTGGTCACCATTGCGGCTGACCATGATCACTGCTGGGATATTAACATTGTAGACTTTCTATGATACCAAAATTTTAATTACACAAGCTCAAATGGTAGCGCTCATATACCTAGGTACCTACCGTATCCAAGTGTTTACTGGAAAGTTGTCTAAACCTAATTCACAAACGAACTCGCTGGTGGACCAAGATAGCTCGGCTTCACTCCACCCAAATCAACTGTCAAACTTTCGAGAAGGATATTCGAATGCCGGAAACGCAGGCGGATATTGTGTGAGCCATGTTTGAAATTCCCAATGCTTTGACGGTGAGTCCACGTACAGTCCTGCACAGCATGATACCAACCAGGAGGCAATTCGCCTTTCCTCTCCGGGTCTGTGACAAGTCGATATGTTTCAACGCCACCATCATCGATCTGAACATCAAATGTCATCTTGTCTGATGGATCAATATCAAGGGTCATGTTGAATCGAAGCTCAACGTGTGCTTCAGCGACGTCTTGGAAAGTGTAGACAGTGTAGACCAGAAATGGAGGATCAGTCCTCCCTGGCTCGACAGACACTGATCCCTGATCTGTTCTCCCCAAGAACGGCAGCGTGCGGTAGCCTGCAATGGAAGTAGCCTTTGACGCAGGTACGGAAACATGTCCGTCTGCCTCTACGTGCCCAGTGAATGGGCCCTCGACTTCCCTGTTGATTATGAGAAGATGTATTTGCTCAAAATCATCGCCGTAAGGGCCATAGTTCCCACCAATCGACCTGACATCGATCAAAATTTCTTCGTGGAAACAGGCCGGAACTTTGTCCCAGTCAATACTGATGTATACTTGCTCATCATCTTGACCTGGAACAAGACGACCGGCTTTCTTTGACAGCCGAACCCATTCGTGCGGGCAGCTGCACTCCCAGCTCAAGGCCATGGAGCCACGTGTGAAAATGGTAAACCAGCGACTCGAGGGTCCGTAGGGGGTCATGGCCCCCAAGGTTACTCCCGGCACCAGATCGCGACGACTAGGATGCGTCCTATCGCTCTCCTCGTTGCAGCGGCCGGGCCGGACGCCAGGATGATCTTGTATGGCAATGCCAAGTTGGCCTATCAAAGGGTTGCTATCCTGTCTGGCTTGCACGAAGCAAATGCCACTGATCATGTCACGGCTGGGGGCGTGCCAAGTGTCCTTGTATCCGTAGTGAGTCTGACGCATCATATTGTTCCATTTCCCATCTAGTAAGGAATGGAATTCTTCGGATAGCCGAAAGTCGGCGTCGAACAAGTCCAGAACCTTGCGTGCCGCTGTGTTGGCGGAATTCCGACGCTGCTCGGCCCAAAGCTGATTTCTCGCCAAGTTTATCCTAAGTGACGTGTAGATAGCACTCGCTTTGATTGGATGCAACACCAGGTCAAAAAAGGCGGCTTGATAGTCTTTGTGCACCTCGGTATCGTATAGCTTTTGCGAATCAGCTAGCAGCTTGTCCCATTTTCCCAAGACGGTATCTGCTTCTTCATAATGCAGGAGTGAGAATGTATCGGCCTCGATATGCTCGTGGCGGCGCAGAGCCATGAGCCTATCATAAGTCAGCCATGCCGAAGCAACATCTTTGTCAATTGTTCCGCCAAACATCTGTCGAGCAAGATTGAGGAGAAAGTCCGGTAGGGAAATTGCAGAAATCGAGTCAATGTCCCATGCTAGTTGCATTGCAAATGAGAGGGGGATCTCCATTGGTTTGATATCGCCAACATTGAAAACCCAGATCTGCTTGGCATTGCGGCGATGAGCCTCTTGTAGCTGCTGCCAGACCTTTCCGAGGGAATTGGAATTAATCCACTTGTAGCTTCTGGGGACTCCAACATATTCAAAATGATAGTAGATCTAAAGAAGTGGATTAGTCATGACGAATGGCAGCAGCTTGAGATATGCTCACTCACACCTGCTCCGCCTTTACGCTGAGTTTCGCTCCCCGAGGGCAGCCTTCGTATTGCGCCAAAATTGTCATCTGAAAACAACAAAGTCACATCATCGGGAACATTGAGTTTACCCGTGTCCCAGTACTCTTGGACTTCTTTATACAGAGCCAAGAGTTCTGCGCATGAAGATTGTCAATATTCTGCCTTGCCATAGTATCAAGACAAAAGAGCTTACGCGGAACTGCGTCTTCCCGGCCGTGCCTCTCTTTGATCAATCTTCTCTGCGTCTGGATCACGTCCTGAACGACCGAGGCCGGGTCGTCCGTCTTCATGGCCCTGTCATACTCACCTCGCATCCCCATGGTGAAGTAGGACTCGCAACCTTGCGCTCGCTCGATCCCGTCGCGAAAGAATTGCGTAATCTTGTCCTTGTTGTCAATCCAAGACCAGCTTCCGTCGGGATTGTTCTCAAACCACTCGTTGGTAGCGCGTTGCATGGGTTCATGATGCGACGTCGACATGACAATGCCATGGTCGTCTGCCAACTTTTGGTTTTGGGCATCATCAACGAAGAAAGAACTGCCTGGATTGGGGTACCCTGGCCACATTGCCGGCCAGAGAAAATTTGCCTTGGAGATGTCAGTGATGGTCGAAAGCTAGCATCCACCTTGCGGGAGACATGGTAAGTGACAGACCTTGAGACGGAGTAACAGTTCAAAAACTCTCTCGTAAAACCCCTTGCCGTATTGCCCAAATTTTTCCAATACCCATCCCGTCAATGCCGGTGCTTCATCATTGATGAAGATACCTCGAAACTTGACACTAGGTTCTTTGCTGATATGATGTATTGGTAATGCATAGATGTTGGCGTGATGTTTCGGAGGGACATCTGCCCACCAATACCACCTTGGATGAATAAGCGACATACGCCTCGGTATATTTGATGCAATTTGGTTCCAAGAAACTTACGGTGATACCCCTATTTGCTCCGAGAGTGAGTAGATGCCAAAGATGGCACCACGCTTATCACTGCCCGCAATGACTAGCGCTTTGCGGCATCCAAACAGGCACGCAGGATTCTCAATCACGCAGGTTTGGAAACATTCCCACTTTCCCTGAAGCTGGTCGACTTGGAGTTGACCCGATTCCACTAGTGATCTGATTATTTGTGAAGAGGAAAGGCTTCCGACTACGATTGCCGTCTCCCCATGAGACCAGGAAGAGTCAATCTGGTGTTCCAGAACTGTGCTCGCATCGCCACCAGTGACTCTGCCAAAGTCACTCGCAAGGTTTCTGGCAGCTATGCAAACTCCGACAAAGTCGTGCTTGTCGACAACAATCGGTGCTCCTTTGAGACTGAACTCTCCGCCTTGCTCCTGGCCTGGTGGTACATCGTAGGCGACGAGCTGCGTGTCGAACATACTTGCTTGAGTACTCAATGAATTTTTGGGCTTCGAATCTAGCCATGAAGCTGATTCGGTTTCGATTCCTATGCGGGGGATGGAAACTTGCGACATCAGGCCCATGCTTGTGGCATACTCAAGGTGTAGGCCGGGGACATATCGATATCCCCCTCATGGGCCCACTGCCAAGTCTCCCAATTCATCATCTCGGGACAAATCGAGCTATTCTCGGTTCAGAGCACGCCGATAGTCACATTAGCAATGTTTGTTATGTTAGTAGTATCACACTTTACGCTTCTTTCACAAAGGCAGTCTACTACAATCTCCTAGATATTCGCGAATTCTTTTCATAGTATATTCTCGAGCCTTCCGTTTAGGATACCATTTTTTCTGGATCGAAGGAACAGCGCTGATATCGCCATAGTTGCAAAGGTTGGAGGAAGTATCTTCTTTAATGAAATTAAACAGTTTACTACCCTCGCCCAGGCGCATAGATATGAGAAGCCCATATCAAATGAGGGATGATATATCTGGCAACTGGCGCCGGGTAGGGTTTACCGACGTTTACATTAATTGGGCCAATTTACCTGCCATTGTCCAAAATTCTTTCCCACCCGCTCCAGTACATCTTCATGTTTCCCGATGGCCGCCAGTCTGGTATGCTTGGCATCAAAGAAAAGAGCTACTGATCCAATCCTGCCACCCTCGGTTCTGTCTCCATTTGCTATACACAGTAGCAGTCTAGTCTTGTCTATCCACTCTTTGCTAGAACTTCAGGCTTCGGACTGACTGCCAAGCATAATTTATGCACGCAAATGCATCGACACGATCGTTTGAGGGGCTTGAGGCGAACCACCGCGGAAGCAATATTGGACGCGGGCTATGCATTCCTCTCTCATGCACGAGACCGCCGAGGGTTACCAACCTGTAGGTATGTGGGTAATTGCAGGTAGTAAGTATCTACGTTGAATGATACACGCTGAAGGGAAGGGAAGTCGATCGCTGCCAATCTCTTTGCTGGGATTTTCAGCAGATTTTGATCGTACGACTCTCGTACTCGTGCATGTTTATGGTTTTCCGGAAAAGCTCCAGCTCCAAATGCTCGCCCACAAGAAGAACACTGTTGGTTCGGAGCTCATTCACTGTGGGACCTTTTGTCATTCTCAAGCAAGCACAAGCAAGGACCGATGGTCGATCGCTCTCCAAGGCCAAGAATTTTCCCCAGCTTTTCGTTTCTTGTCATTCCACCGCCAAGTGCAGATTGGTGAAGCCAAGGACCTTTACCCCAGATTTGACCATGCCGTTGGGTCTGGGGTTGCCCCCGCTTGGCACCTAGAAAGCGCTATCTACTCTGCTTCTGGGGTGAGTTTGCTGAGTGCAAATACACTAACCAAGCCACCGTAAGCGCTGCATGTGTGCTGGGGAAAACCCGGTGCTATAGGTATACCGGAATAGTCGCGTGCTTTTCCGCTTTTCCGAGTCGACGAAACATACATCTCGAGACAAATAATAGCCGGAATCGTACATCCAATACGCTTATGTGGGGGTAATGGGCTGGGAGAGAAAAGCAACCCGAAAAGGTTGGGGGACCCAGGTACATAGTGAGGGGCGAGTTCTGTGCAAAGATCAACATGAGCATTGAGGAGCAACCATTGCTCTGAGTAAAATGAACCCACTTGGATGTCACTTTTGGCTGTATACTTTGATTTCCACTTGCAAAACGATAATGTGTCGTCTTGCAGTATCTGCGCATGTAGTGTTGCATTTTCTCACGATTAGGCAAGTACAGCGACATTACGGTGCCACTCATTAGTACACTTGCAGCTCAGGACTGACCTGGAGGGACAAGATGATCAGCAGAGATGCCGAGAGAAGCTCCGTCTTGTGAACACAGAGCCCCATGTCTTGTCACTGGCTCGCTGGTCAAGCTTTCATCAGCATGGACAATGCTTTACAGCCTGCTCCGAGCATATGAAATGTGCGGCGTCAAATCTGTTCTCAATAGTGATACTCCTGTAGTCATATTTCAAGCACATCATTTCGGCAATCATGGCCAAGAACTCGACGGAAATACTTGGGTGACTATGATACATGTTCATAATGCGTCATACAAATATTGGACATGACGAGAGCCGCCCCTCTCAACCTCGAGATATGAACCACACACTTAGCTACAAAGGGAAACACACAAGTCCAAGGAGGTGAAGTCCACATACCCTCTGGAAAAGCCCAATAAACTACCATCCGGTCATAGAACATATCTAAAGAGCGGCGACGAGTCTCCCATATCCATCAGTTCGGCTTCCGTGTACCGGACTCGTACCTCATCTTCCGTGATCTTTGCTTTCTGTACATTTCCTCTCTTATATGACCATTCCAGGAAGAAGGCCATGAGGAGACCTGTAGAAGCCAAAGCCAGTCCCAGTCCGAAACCCGTGTGGTATTTTGGCTTCTCGGAATCAATGTACATGAAACTGCCGACAATGCCACCAGTGTTCCCGACACAGTTGTTCATGGCAATGGCAATGACTCTGCGCGTCTCGGGCGCAATGTTGTTTGCATTCCACGCCGCCGCTGCTGGTTGGATCGGGTAGATGCCAATGCACACCACAATGGCAGCGAAATACGCGAGGCCGCGCTGAGTCGCCAGAGCACCGTTGAGGCCTAGGAAGATTGCATATCCGACAGCACAAATGACCATGGGCGTAGCCACAAAAGGCATACGCCAGTAGAACTTATCCGACATCTTTGCAAACGTGATGGCTGAGATTGCAGCGGCAACATACGGAGGCGCCGACATCAGCTGGGCATATGTGTTGGTAAAGCCCATCGCCTGACAAATGGTGGGTAGGGTGAATTTGGTTCCTATTGGGGGGTTGATACCATTAGAATATAAGCAAAGTTTTACCGGGCTTCAGGATGACTCACCATAAGAAAGTGCCGACTGGACAAAGAGGAAGTAAGCCTGTGTATAAATTCTCCAGTTCTTTGCGGCCATTTTGAGATCCTTGAAGCGGAACCGTTTCTCCGAATGGAACTTGCCTCCCTGCTTGATAAACATGGACAGCTCCAGGTAGCGGATTTCTTCCGGCTCTAGCCATCTTGTTGAGAGGGCCGGCGAGTCAATGAGAAGGAAGTAACATGAGATACCAATCAAGACGGTGACTAGGCCCTCGAGAATGAAGATCCATCTCCATCCTTCAAGTCCGCCAATGCCATTCATCTCAGCAATAGCAGCCGCTCTGAAGAACCTTCCGTTAGTGGTCGATCAAGGACCGGAAAAGTTATGATACAGAGGTACATTGCTTTCAGAAGAAAAGAAAACAGAAAGAACAGAACAAATGGGAACGGCACGATCAAATTTACTCACAGGAGTCCCGAGAATGCTCCGGAAAGAGCGCTGGCACAGTAGAAGTAAGATATCCTAGTAGCCAAGTCCTTCGGCATATACCAATACGAGCAGAGGTAGATGGCGCCAGGGAGGAATCCAGCCCTTTTTCAACGTGTCAATAATTGAAGCTCTACCGGCAACTGGAAGCATAGAAGTGCTCACTCAAAGATACCAAGGAGAATGCGAACAGCCATGAGACTTGAAAAGTTCCGAACCACCCCTGTGCATGTCATGATGGTGCCCCATGCCGTGGTGATGATGGCGATATAAGTCGATGGACGTTTGAACTTTTTTAGTAAGATATTGCTTGGTATCTCAAAAAGAACATAGGGAACAAAGACTCCGACCTCATATTAGTATTGAAATATTCAGTGACATAAGACGCGATGCAAATTGGCCAAGTCCTCCTAGTCAATGGTCCAAAGGATGATCTCATTTACTCACAGATTGCTAGTACTATGTTGTACTGCACCCCCGTCATGTTCAAGTCCTCTACCATCCCCTCAATCTTGGCATTTCCAATGTTGGCACGGTCAATGTGACAGATCAAGTATAGAAAGGCCAGCATGGGAATGAGTCGAAAGTCAATCTTGAATCACTTGGTAAGTTTCCGGCTGCGTGAGCGCCCAAACAGAATGGCATAGGAGAGACACACACCTTGCGAGTCAACTTCTTTCGCTTCTCCTCCTCGTAGTTGTTGTAAAAGTCTGCATCGGCCGAGTCCAAGCCCAGAACCCGAAAAGTCTCGATCTGAATAACAGCCGGCGCCTGCTCCACATGATCAGGCGAGACCTTGAGATCAGCGTCGTGTGAGGATTTGCGGGACATGGTTGCAAGAGGTAAATGGATTCCGAAGCAGCCAAGAAAGAACCGGAAAGATGAATGCGCAAGTCAATGACCTGGAATGGAGTCAGGAGCCTGCATATTATATCAAGTCGCCAGTCTCCCGTGAGTGGCCTCCTCAATCAGTCCAGGGTCCTTTTCCCCAGACGCTGCTCCCTGGTTCCCCCCCTACCTTGACCCTGTGGTGGTTCCCCGCACGCGAGCCTGTGCTGATTGCATTCACATTGATGATTATCATTGGAGATGGCCTTTTTCCGATGCCTGGCGACATATCCGATTGTGTGCTGCCTATGTTGTATCGATGGGCAGCTAGTCATTTTCCGACGAGTATCGATCCCAAAGTTGTCTGCGGGGAGCTGCAACCAAACATCATGTCATGTATAGTGGGCAATAAGTATACTATACAGAGACAGAAATGGAAGTAGTCGGCGACTGTAGAGTATGCTCAGGTATTAATCCACGCTACATTTGCTCCTAGTTATCAATTTACTCTGCAACTTTGAATCATTTGCTTGAGCAGCAACACCTACTCATCTAGATAATCATGGCCAAGTCTGGTATTATTCGAGACATCATTGTCACTCCAGTGGCGTTTCACGACATGCCACTGTTGAATAGCGTGGGCGTACATGAGCCATTCGCACTTCGCAGTATTTTACAATTGGTCACGGAAACAGATGTGTACGGCCTTGGGGAATCTTATGGGGATGATGCGCACCTAGATCGTCTCAAACGGGCGGCTGACGCCATCATAAGTTTGAAGACTTCGGCCTATGATCTCAACGGTATATATAAAGCCTGTGTTGGTTCTCTTCACAGCACCGACACCTCGGGCGGTGATGGCATGGCGGGTATGGTTACGACTGCCTCAACAACCGACAAGGTCTTTAGTCCCTTTGAGGTCGCTTGTCTCGACATTCAGGGAAAACTATCAGGAGTTCCAGTGAGTGACCTCCTCGGAGGCTGCGTGAGGGACTCTGTACCCTACTCGGCATATCTGTTTTACAAGTGGGCCGGTCATCCTGGTGAGCCAGACGACGAGTTTGGAGAGGCTCTGGATCCCGAGGGCTTAGTCAATCAAGCTAGGAAGATGTTAGATGAGTACGGGTTCACCGCAATCAAGCTCAAAGGAGGCGTATTCGAACCCGCTCAGGAAGTTGCTGCCATCAAGGCGCTACACGCAGCATTTCCTGGTCTTCCCCTCCGTCTAGACCCAAATGCTGCTTGGACAGTAGAGACCTCCAAATGGGTAGCGAAAGAGCTGGTTGGAATTGTCGAATATCTCGAGGATCCGACGGGTGAGATTGAGGGCATGGCTGCCGTTGCAAACAGTGATGAGACGACAATGCCTCTCGCCACCAATATGGCCGTGGTCGCATTCAACCATCTGCCGCCATCAGTTGAACAAAATGCAGTCCAGGTTGTTCTCTCTGATCACCATTTCTGGGGCGGCCTGCGCAAATCGCAACTGCTCGCCGGCATTTGTGGTACCTGGGGCATGCGCCTTAGCATGCACTCGAACAGTCATCTCGGTATCTCACTCGCTGCCATGACGCATCTGGCGGCTGCAACGACGAATCTTGATTACGCCTGCGACACGCATTGGCCATGGAAACGACGGGATGAAGATGTAGTCGTCGACGGCGCCCTGAACTGGGTGGCTGGTGGAGCAGTGCTGGTACCAAAGACGCCCGGCCTTGGTGTTGAACTTGACAAGAGCAAGCTTGCAAAACTTCACAAACAGTATCTTGACTGCGGCTTGAGGAAAAGAAACGACACAATCTACATGCAAAAGTTCCAGCCAGACTTTACAGCAGCAATTCCAAAATGGTGAGAGTTGAGTTGCTGCACCAGAGACACCCGCCCATTCTGGCATGTCAAGGGTCAAATAACCTTTAAATACCTCTGTTTAGGCCAGTTCTGTCTCTAGAATCCAGGTCATTTCGGGAATTCATATTCACCAGTAGCATGTCAACTTTGTTCATGAGCGGCCCAAAGAGCTTTTTCTTCTTTCTCATCATGATTAAATGCATAGAAGCTCTCACTCGATTCTAGGCAACAATAAAGCGCCATGCCATGCTATTCTACAGCGGACTTTGCACAATCCCCTTCCCCTTGCGCGATGCTTGCCGTGATTCCGATGGCTCCCAGCAAAAAAGCCTTGCTGTGATCATCTCTCTCAAGTCCAGAACTCCCAGTACTCAGATCATATCCCTCAACGCCTTTATCCGTGCAGAGCTAAACAGCAAACCCCATGCCGTACGCTGGTCTAGTAAAACAAATCTGTCAAATGCAAATAAACGTGGCCCAGGACACAATGGTTCTCTGGCCAATCCGGAGCTTCCCCCACACGTGTCGAGCGATAAAGAAAAGCTTCGTGCCCCAGCGCTCAACTCCAGTCTAGAGAATAAGACATGCTCGTGAGCATGCCGCGCAGACGATCGTCGGTGCTGCGCCTAGACTCGCCGTGTCCCCATGTTTGATACAATGCAAAGTGTGGGTAAGACTCGAGCTGGTCTCACAACTGTCATCGGAGAATCCTACAAGCCTGCAAACTGCGGACTAGCCGGATGAAGGACATTGTAGTTTCCGCCGCCATTAGTCGATTTCAGGAATGCTGCTTCACGCTCAGCCTTTTCACGGTCCATTTGAGCCTTGTCTGCCTTTGTCATGCGCGGTTTACGCACAACACCGCCGCGAGAGCCAGGGCCGCCGCCACGTCCACGACCTGTACCGGTTCCACGTCCAGCACCGCCGCGTCCACCGCGTGATCCACGGCCACGAGCAGGTCGTCCTTCGCCACTGTATCCAAAATTAGCTTCACTAGATTCTTGCAGGTAACCACGTGCCAGGCACATGTGTTCTAAACTGGAGACGTACCGTCCGGGTTCAGGCTTCTCGACCTCTGGTACTAGCGGGCCAGAGTAGACAAAGAAGCCATCACGACTAGCCGCAGCCTGCTCTTCCCAGAGCATCTCCGAGTCATCCACAAAGTCGTCTTCCTTGTCATACTCGTCCTCCTTGAAGTGTCGCTTCTTCTTCTTGATCTTGCCATCAGGCTTGTCGGCGCCGCTCATACCACCCATCTCGATATTGCTGTCATCGTTGTCGGATTCGTCAACGCTCATCTCGTCACCTTCGCGGCCGGCCTCCTGCTGGGCAAGTGCAGCAGATGCAGCTGCGATTCGTGCCTTTCGTGCCTTGGCCTCTGCCTGGCGAGGATGAAGAGCATCCCAGCCGTATTGGTCCTCTGCCATGCGCATGAAGTTTACGTATTTATTGTTCTCTCCCGTCAGGGGAATATGCAGCACAATGGATGGAGTGGTGACTGCAGAGCCAGACTTGCCAAAGTCCAGAATCGATCGCTCGTCGCCAGGCATCTCTAGACCGTTCTTCTGAGCACCAAACTTGGGCGATCCCGAGGCATGACTATGGTTCTTGGGCGGGGTTCGTTTAGAGGCAGCAGCGATACTGGTGATGGACGACGGGCGGATTTCGATCTGAGCCCTCGTAATGGTCGGCGCAGTCTCCTTTTTGGATTCGGCAATGGTGGATTTGGGCGCTGCTGGCGGGGGCGGAGGAAAGTCCTTCGGGGTCTTGAAGGGCTGAGGCGATGCGGGCACCGAGTTCGAGTCTTGCCGATGCTGCGATTGCTGGGCACTGCTATGGGCAAAAGTAGTATGTGTTGGGACTGGCGAAATGATATTGTGAACGGGAGGATCAACGAGACTCGCAATCGAGGGTGAAGCGCTCGCGCGGTTGATGGCGCTTGTTGGGGCGCGGGGAGAGGCCAATGGGTTGGAATAAGAATGGTGGGAGACCATGGTACCGCGGACGGGGTCATAACTCGGTCTGGTCAGATCGTAGTTGGTTCCGCCGGATCGAGGGGTTGTATTAGGCTGCGGCTGAGGCTCTGGGTCGGCATTCAGGATACTCGACATGTTGGAGACGCGGGGTTGGCCTGATGAGCCCTCTCTCTTCAGAGGCTGTGCCATGGGCTCGAGCCTGCCCAGGTTGGAGGACATATCAGTGAGCTTGGTCTGGCGCGGAGGGCCAGCACCAATGCTGGCGGATCGATCCTCGACGTGTAGATCGGATGAATCAGGGTCAGCTTTATCCAGCTTGCGTTTGCGAGATGTCGGGGGCGCATTAGGATCCCTGGGTTTTCTAGGCTTTCGAACCTTGGCAGCATCTCCGCCATCGGCATTATTGTTGTTGTTGTTGGCGTTGCGCTTGCCCAGCTTCGTACCGGGCTTGGGGCCTGGTTTCCTTCGGGGTACACCATCTTTGGTCAGAACGGGCTGGCCAGTGACGTCGAAGCGGTAGGCCGACTGGTCCAGCATGAGCTCGTTGGCCCTGGCATTGGCGCGTTGAACAGGCGAGGTGGTTTCTGATAGACCGGAAGGAGGGTCGGACAGATCGGGTGAGGAACTGTACCGCATCGAGAGATCTCGAGAGGCTGCCATGATGAGAAGGCGGAGCCGCGGCGCAGAGCAGTCTGATGTTGCGCTCGCTGGTCAAGGTTGCGGGAAGGTGGAGTGAAACCTTGCGCGATGATCAAGAGATGTCCAACAAGAGAGACAAAAAGTGCAACACGTCAAAGAAGGCGCGAATAAAAATTAGGCTTTCTTTAGTACTTGCGCATTTGTGTCAAGAGAGGGGGATTTGGTGGTGGAGAAGAATAGTGAATCGAAGTGAATGGATCCCACCGAATAAAGGGATTAGCAATTCGAAGGGAAAATGACACCGTAGGCAGCGACAGAGAAGGGAATTGAAAAAAAATGAAACAATAGTCCAAGGTGTTTGAACGATTGCTCAATTGTTCAATCGTCCGTTTTACTATTGTCAGCTGAGTTGGCGTTTTTGAGCAGGGATCAATGTGTTCACGATGGTTTATCGTGGATTATTGGCCCAATGGGGGGGGATGACGAGCTTCAATCGGCCGCTTGGGTTTGTACGTGCACCGCGGAACGAAAAGTGACGCGGGTACAACTGGGCTGGGCTGCTCCTCTTGCAGTGTGGGGTCCAGCCGCTGCAGCTGGGCTGGGCCTGTGGTGAGCGGAAATAGCCTCGAGTAACGTGACCTGGACGGCGGAGGATGTTTTTGGTGAAAGGGATTGAGCTCGGGGCAGTTGAGATTAGAGAAGAGCTTGGGCCCTTTTTTTTTTTCCTCCTGCCGCGTGTTGTGTCCTTGGGCGATCCAGTTAAATCAATCAGTCAGCCAGCCAGTCAGTGGGTGGTGGTTGTTCTTGCGACTGGGGTCTCGGTCGGCCGTGATTTCAGTGGGGCGTTGGAAGTCAGAATAACCTCACGTCGCGACAATTCAGATTGCTGCAAAACGGTGCCCCTAAAAGGCCAAAGAGGTGGGAAAAAAGGATGCAAGGCGTGTGATTTCCCGTTCCTAAGCTGGTGCACTGAATGCAGCAAATTCAGACGCAGAATATGATGAGAAAATATCAATAAAAAGTTGTCGGCGACAAGTTGATTTTGATGGAAATAATTCTTCAACGCCAAGGAGTGGTTTGGTGGTGGTGGGTGGGTGGTGTTGGTGTGGAAGAAGTGGTGAGAGGAGAGAAGTTTTGCGAGTTTGGGTTGAGAAATTGGGGATGGCTACGTTTTGGAACCTGGGAATAATCGCCAGAAAGTCAAAAGGGAAGGGAAAAAAAGTTGCAAGGCGGAAAGGGAAAACCGGGGCCCTAACCACCGTCTAGCAATTGTCAAGACAGTTGCGTGGGAATTGTTATTAAAAAGGAATTAGAGATGGGACTAAATAGACGGGGGGGGCCATCAACCACCAAGCCATTCAATGGTACAATCCAACAAGTCAAGGCGGGCGGCGCGATGGAAGAGAGGGAGGGAGAGAGAGGGAGGGAGAGGGAGAGAGGCAGACAAGAAGAGAAGGGGGGGGGGAGGGGGGAAACGAGAACGACGACCAGCATGGGCAAAAGGGTCGTGGTGGCATCAACAGAAGAGACAAGAACGGCGAGCAACAGAGAGTGACAGACACAGAGAGAGAGAGAGAGAGCGCACGATCAACCATCGACCAAGGCAGACAAGACAGATGAACAAACATTAACGGGGGTGTCAAGGGACCGACGACTACGACTACTACTATGACTACGGGGGGAAGCATGACAAGAACTGACAAGTTGAATAATTCCATGGGGGACGACGACAAATGATGAGACCAGGTGCCAGTTCATCGCATACACCTACGGCTCCGCGGGTAATGTAAGCTTTGGGAAATGCCACGAGCCAGAACCCAAGAAGGAAACGGGCGAGAAAGAAAGAAGAAGAAAAAGCGGACTAGGATGAGCAACATGGGAAACCACCGACGAGAGAAAGCACTCCAACCTCAGTACAGGCATTGACCACGAGGGAAAGCCAAGCTCTCGTCCGGGTGGGCTCAGCCTGAGGAGATGGACTCAAATATGGGAGGGACAAGATACCTCCTCCTCAAAGCCTCGCCTCACAAAGAACAAAGCGCCCAGTGGAAGCATGTGGTTCCAGGGGGGGTTATGTCCGGGGGATAATGTACCGCAAGGTAGGTAGGTATTGGTAGGTAGGTAATGATGAAGATTGAAGCATCCATCATCCGCAAGTACCCATGTGTAGGTAGGTAGTAGGTACATGAAAGAGATTGATCAGTGGAAAGATACTACATTATATCTTGGCTTGCATTATACTACATAACCAGGAATAATAGCCAATGAATAAGCAGCTTGTCACTGTTATAATACAGTGCTGATAGTCTCAATCAAAAGAAACGCGCACAGTTTGCTGTGACACTGCAGGCTCCAAACGCGAATTGTAGCGGCGTCGTGACTCGGAAGGTATCCAGACGGAGACACACGGTAATAGTAATAGTGATGGTGGTGGTGGTAACGGCATTTGCTCCCCCATGAATTGTCCGCAATGAGCTGCTGCTCGCTTGCGCCTTGAGCCTTGCCCAGTATCCTGGTCGCACACTATAGTAGCGCAGTTCATCAAAGACGGGAGCCACTCACGTTTCCCCACGCTTTAGATCCTGCATATGGAGGCATGAGCCGCGAACCGCACACGGTAGGAGGGTACCTGTGTACATCTGCTCTGCCAGGGCCGCGTCAAAAAACGCCCTGCGCGGGTTAGCCGCTTTTTTTTTGTCCCTCTTCTTGGAAAGCAGGGGTTCACCTCTGGTGGATCATGACACAACAGATCAGGACAAGGGGCACGGCTAGCACCCCCGGACCGAGTCTCGCATCGCATTGTGTGTGCAATGAATGAACGAGAGTGAATTTGCAGCAGATTCTAGCATACGCAAAAATTTAGACATGGACACTGCATGGCTTTGGAGGGGCACCTTCAATGTAGTAATGTGTATGGGCTACATTAGTCATGAATGCATTAGAAGTGTACTGCTACATAATCTGTAGAGATGCACTATGGTAAATGGAGGATCAGGGGGTGAGACTACCTCATGACTTTTGGTCTCGTAGCACGAAAATGTGTCTTCCTTTCTCCGGGTGGCCCGATGCGTCGGGATGTGGGTCGACATCATGACATAAGCAAGCCCAGATGCCAATTCATTCGCAGTCTAGTGTAAACGTAGCTCGTATTATATCAGAGTGATATGGCCATTGGCAAAATCCAAATAACTCTCGCAATACTGATATATGCACCGTTGCATCCGCAGCAGCTGCAAAATTGGCTGCAAGGTCCGTCTCTCCTTCAGGCGCAGAAATGATTCAGTGCGTCTCAATGCACGGGCATTCTCAATGAGCGCTATTTGAGATACCTGCATGCCTATTTGCATAAACCAAGTCATTCAGCTGCAAAGTCCACACTTGTGGTTAACCTTAACATACTGTTGAAATTTTGCAAGCCTCGGAGCTTTGTAATTCCTCTACTCGTTCATTCCTTCTCCTCCCTCTTTCTTTTTTTCTTCTCCCCAAACTACAGTATACGCCATATTGTTTGAATTCATTACTCTACTCACATACGATCTTTGACCAAACGTCCGCAGCAAATGATTGGATCGCTAGACGCTGGTTTGGTTTCATGTGGATCGACGCTAATGCAGACAATCTGACACGGCCAGGCAATCTGGCTGTCGGCTTCGGCAACTCTATTTCAATACTGGCCAAGGTTGAGTCGAAGATTGATTGGGTGCATCCTGGACATGACGATCATTAGGTGTCGTCCATGTTTCTCGCCCGAAAAGGTGCAATACAAAGAATGAAATTCAAAGTGTGATTGTCTTGCTGCAACCGAACAACTTATAGTTCTCAATGCACATGAATGCAAGTCATCGTACATCTGAAATGCTGGACTGACCTAATCTCTAAGAACCTTTTTCCTGACTAGACTAGAAAAGTTTTAGTTTCCGTCGGCGCGACCGTTACGCGTTGGTCTGTGCGCCCATGCTGTTCCCTGGTTGCATCATCCAAAGTAGGGAAAAAAAAACACCTAACAGTAATCTATCGCTGCCTTCCATGTAACAGTATCGCAATTACCACTCCAAACAAGCAATACAGATTCACCTGTAGATGCAGACATTTCAGAAATTGCCAACATGGACTCACCTCTAATTTTCGACATCCAAGAGAAGGAGACAACCTCTCCGCACGCTCCGACCTTTCCGCAGATCAAATCCTCCACTGGCTTCCCAGAGCACAAGAAACGAACGAGGATATCCGCTTTCAAACAGAAGCGCCAGGCCGCCGAAAGCAATCAGCAGCCACTAACCAAAGCGTCAGCTTTTGTTGCCTCGTCACCATCAGATCGAAATGAATTTCAGCATAGTGCATCGGCGACCGCGGAGTTGCAGCCAAAGCCCAACTTGACAGAGAAGCAGAGCATCGATCAAGAAAATAAGGACAAGCTCGCAAATATGTCAACAGCAGAAATCGACGAGGCAAGATCGGAGTTGTTTAGTGGCCTAGATCCAAAAGTCCTGGAAATGCTACTGAAACGGGCCAACCTTGACGAAAAGAACGGCCCTTCTCCATTCGAAGACGAAGAATCCAAATCTATGCCTCCAGCAAACACCGAGATCGAAGAGAGCGAGTCTTCTTCTGCACCAACGAAAACGATCAACTCAGAGCCATCGCGTGCTCCAAGAAAAGTACATTTTGAAGAGGTCCCAGACCAAGACGACCCAGTGCAGACTTCGGAACCAGGAGAGACAAATACACAACCCAAGATCATACCAGATGCAGGTGACGAAGAACCACCGTCAATACCACACAACCACAAACACGGCGATGATTTTGCTTCATCCAAGCCACATTGGCCGCATCCTCCTTCGGCGCCCGAGCTCGATCCCGCCGACCCCAACTTTTTGTCGTCTCTGCACGAGAAATATTTTCCACAATTACCCGCTGATCCTACGAGACTCGCCTGGATGGCACCGATACCGACCGCTAATTCGCCTGCCGACTTTGACTCTCCTTACCACCCGACACACAGCAGCATCCCCGTTTCGGAACTGCGCTTCGATTTCCGCGGTGCCCTGCTGCCACCGCGGATCGCGCGAGCGGTTCCTGTAACCAGAGGCCTCCATCATCACGGTGAGGCCCCCGAGGCGGCTGGTTATACCATCAAGGAGCTGGCAAGACTAGCCCGCAGCGCCGTTCCAGGGCAAAGGTGCATTTCATACCAGACACTAGGTCGAATTCTATACAGGCTTGGTCATGGCAACTTTGGTAGTCGGGGTGACAGTATTCCCGACGGAATCTGGAATGCCATGGTCGAGGGCAAGGTGATGGAAAGTCTGTACGAGGAGGCCGGCGTGGACCCCGATGCTCCGGGCCAGGCCGGCGGTGATGATGACGAGACAGGTGGCAGTGGCAGAGGCAGGGGTCATCGTAGTGCACATGCTTTTGCTGTTGAAGCTATATGGCTTTTCGAAAAAGGAGGCTGGGCGGAAAGTCTCCGGAAGGGCAAATAATTGCATAAACATTGCGGACTCTCCCCAGCATTTGTTCTCCTGCCGGGCATGGCGCTACATCACGGACCGGATGCATGGGGCTTGGTGCAACTTCTAGGAGCTGATGCGCCTGAGCTGTCGGGAAATCGGACTTGCCCATGCAGAGTCAAGGCATGATGCTCATGCAGAGTCAATCGAGCCCAAACCTGCCGCTGGCATTGCTCGAGCTGACAGCTGTGAAATAACTGTACTCTAGACTTGGTAGGTGCGGGCACACTGAACGATTACTTGGACGGTGTGATTTCGATTCCTACATTATAATAAGCCCTCAAGACTTGCTTTGGAAATAGTAAATTGTGACACTCCTCCAGAAAGCTACATTCAAACTTCCTTCGGATCCTGTCCAGTCCATTACTGAATCGCCCGCCCTTCAAAAACATGGCCTCAGATGGGCATTGAGCACAGCGCTCTTGTCATTGCCAATATAAATCGGTGTTGAGTCGGAGGAAAAAAATGAATTGAATCAAAAATTCCGCAAATTTAGACTATTAAAACAAGGCCGGGGGAGAAATGACATTTCGTAAGACCAGCTGGCCGGCCTCCATTCACCAGACGTGGTATTTCGCGAGCCATTCAGAGTACCGTCTCTGAGGTGCCCTCCTTTTTCTTCATCTTCCAATATCAAGCTCATATGCCTGAGATGCATGCAGTACTTGGATCCAGAGATACTGGGTCGATCGGACCTAGCTCTGTGCTTCCTCGCCCTTTCGTTCTTCTGCCTCGTCGGATTTTCGTGATGGTTATTCGCCCTGCGGATTCTCTGGCACATGCAGAGGTCCACCCATCTATCTATTTTCGTGAAGTTCCAGTCGCATTCCAGGTTCGGGAGAGCGCCACGTAAATGAAAAAACAAAAACAAAAACAAAACATCATCGACAAGGCATTATTTTTGCAATCAGAGCCCGACTATTGCCTTTTGGCCAGAAAGGGACGGTGTCAGTAGGGTTACTATAGCAAAGAGTCCAGGCGGGTGAAGACGCTCAAGCAAGCAGCAACAACCTCGACCTGCAGTTCCTTGTCCTTGCCCTTGGTAACCTCCTACAATGGTAGTTAGCACACGCGGCATTCTGCTTCATAGCATCGTTCTTCGAACAACCATACCTCTCCAATGAGCTGCGGGATGTTGGCTCCGATCCCTTGGCCCCCAATCTTCTTTCCAAAAGGCCACTGGCTATATTCGGCAAGCAGCTCGTCGGTCTGTGTGAAGGCACGCTCTCGTGCCTCATGGCCCAGCGTGGACAATGCGTTCTCTAGGACATTGGCGGCATAGGCGGCACACACCATGGCAATTGTACGAAGATAGCGGAATTCGAGGTTCTCGGGGAGAAATTGGGAGTCAGGTAGGACGACAGTTCGCTGGGTGAGCACATTTCTAACGCGTCGGCGGATCTCTTCCTTGGCGCCACCATCGACCACGGGATGTGTGGCCATGTCAAAGAGGAGGAAGTTGCGCTTCTCGGTCCGGAGGATGCCCTTGTCGACGAGTCCTTTGCAAAGGCGCTCACGGACTTGCTTTAGTTGATAGCCGATCTTCATCAAATTCCAGGTTTCGCCTACGTGTCAAGAGCTGGTTAGTTATTGTTGCGTCGTACTTGTACAGACACCATTCGTGGGTGGGTTGGCCGCTGGGCTGAAGGTCAGGATGGATAGGGGTGTGGGTTCAAAGGGGGAAAGCAATACCGCTCATCAGGTCAATCCACGAGCTGACGCTCATCTTTTCGCTCGCCTTCATCAACTTCAAGGCCTCGTCTAGCAGCACCTCGCCGGTCAATGTGTCGTCAATCACCTCGATCACTCGGTCTGCTAATGGGAAACGCCGTCTGGCGGGATCTTTCTGCATGCTGATGCGACCGCGGAAAGCGAGCTCGATGACAATGCAGCCACGGAGCGCATAGCTGATGTTGTCGTTCCAAAAGGAGAGATAACCCTACAAGACAAGTGTTAGTTTGCCGGTCGGGAGCGGATAAGGCTTCTTTCTGGATGGGTGGGATAGGGGAAGACGGGACTGGTAGAGAGGGTGTCACGCACCTGCTTGTCTTTGAGGCCCAGCAATATCACCTCCTCCATCAGGGTGAGTTTGGGCTGCTTGCTCCGCTCGGCGCTCTCGCTGATGTCGCGGGGATCGAAGGCGATCTTGTGCCCGTTCTCGCTGGCCTCGTAGCTGGTCTCGGGGCCATTGTCGCGAACGTTGGTGGACGAGGCCGTCCTTGACGGGGCGTTGGCTGCGTCCTCTCCGCCACCGCCAGCACCGCGGCGTCTCGTCAAGCCCGACGACATGCTCGCTCGATCAAGGAGTCAGTCAATGTCGGAGTCGATACAATCGATCAGTCAATGGAGCAAATAAACAGTGCAAAGCTCAAGAGGCGGGCCCGAGGGGTGAGGTGCGATCAATGCCCGTTGGTCCTGGGGTGGGCAGATAAGTCTTTTCGGGGGTGTGTGGTATTCCAGTAGTAGTGACTGACGCCTGTCTGGCTCTCTGGTCGTTCGGACTAATGTAAGGGTAGGTAGCCACGTAGCGCGCGGCGGGTTGTCTTTTGATCTGGTTGGTGGTGTCTGGGCTTTGTGCTAAGGTGCACTGGGTGCTAGGTACAATGTTCCTACTAGGCTCCAGGTAAGTCAGTTAGGTTATTTGCTTAGCAAGGTCCAATTTGGCTGTCTTTGAGGTCCAAGGTCGGCGAGTCGGCGGGCGGATTGATGAGCTGGGGTTCACTAATAAGGTGGGATAAGAATCGGGGGCCAAACCGGGGAGGGACAATGCAATGATTTCAACCAGCAGGTGAGTGACTGACTGGCACAAATAAACAAGGAAAGATCCCGTCACTTAGATCCCAGAGATTTGATAATACATATCCTTCTTTCAGCCTTTCGTACTTTTTTTTTTTTTTTTTTACTTGTGCGTATGCTTACATATATATAACTCCCCTCCCCAACCCTCGAAACCCTTGCAGTAACAAGTCTACTAATTTTGGAATATCGAAGGTCAGAGTTGGTTGTGTTCAGCAGGTACATACCTTAATGAAAATCGCTTGAAATGCTTAATTCCGGTTTGTCATTCTTCATTCATGAACCGATCATTGTTTCTGGTATATTTTTTTTCATGTCACTAATGCAATAGACACATTTCTGTAGGTATCTAGTATGTTCACAAGAACAGTATTGCATGCTTGCCTATCTTGCAGGATGAGCTCATGATCCAAGCAATTACAACTCATCAAGGTACCCTGATGTATACTGCAGCTGCCATTATACCCAGATCAAATAGCCCGATGTCTCCTGTTGCTGCAAAGCTCAATACACACAACGGACAGCGTGACTCGATTCCGGTGTCGAGTTGGTCTTGTGTTACTAGCCTACTTGTTCTCAAGGTTATCATCCGGTGAGCTGCGCTGGCCCTTTGTAATTAATGTTTTATAAAGGGGACATGCATTTGTTTTTCAAGCCACAATGGTGCAGTCGTCAAGCCTCTCACAATTACACTTGTAACCTTAAAAAGAACAGGAACGGTCTTCTGTTTTCTAGCATATATTAAGCGAGATAAAACCAGCAGAAGCGGAATCGTTTTTACTGTTAATTAATTAATACCAGATACGATATTATTCCTTATACGGGGGCTGATTGCCAATTTAAATACAGTTGACGACATGCATATTTGAAAAGGGAGATGACATGACATCAAGGACAGACAAGAGTTCCCTTCAAGCAAAATGCGAAGAGCGTGCTTATGCATATTTGCAGATTAATAGCAAGACTATATAAATACAAAATATGGCAACCGGATCCTGAATATCTCACTAATTATTACTACTGTTCAAATAAGTCTAACAGGAAGAGAAATGTCAGAGTAAAAAAGGATAAAAGGGTGCAGGCATGAGCCTATACGGAAATTACATATAGCGAAACAAGGAACAGGCAAAAATGAGCTAGAATCAAAAAGAGAAATGTCGCTTCTGTGGATCGAACACAGTGCCTCCAGATATCAGAGTCCTGAAGTTTGAGCTTCAGTCTGGCGCTCTCCCAAGTGAGCTAAAGCGACTGCTTTTAGAGGGAGAATGTGTCACTGCCTGCCGTTGATCGGCTGACCACGTGATTGGTTATTGTTGGAAATTGTGGTGTTTATCAAAAGATAAGTCGCTAGACGCACAGAGATCTGCCTTTTTTTTTCTTTAGTGTCTCCACCACGGCCCCAATCTTCTATAGAACTTGAATACATTGTGGCACCCTCAGGGTCGGTAGTTGATGGCAACCCAATGGAAGTCTACTTCTTTGATGCATCCAGTAGTTTTTTTTCTTTCTTAATCTGTGAAACTTTTGAATCAGTCTTACATCCAATACACTGGTTCTTTCATGTTGTCGAAGCCAACAACAACAACTTTTGATTATAGTATTCCAGAGAGGCACGTTGACACTGTTCTATCATGTTGTTGTAGCTGGAAGACCATTATACGATTTGATCATTCTATCTGTGGTTATAGCTTCATCTTGGTAGATTGCTCATCTCGTTCAGCACCACATATCCTGTGTCATGACACTGGCCGGTCAATCCGATAAATCATCTTCGCCGTGTTAAAATAAGCTTCATATTCGATAGCGTCAGCAGCTCCGGTACTTTCGTGATGGTAATGCCCTCCAGCATTCGTCCCATCGGCCGAGAAGCAGTGAGTATGCTCGATGCGTAGAGCCTTTGCATTGTTCGGGTCTGCCGAGTGAAAGACAGACAAGCATACCATGGGCGAGTCAAAATCGTGGTAAGTTAGCCAGTCATCAACCTGCTGTCGATCCTTGAATGGCAATTGCTCCTCTGATGGGAATTCGGGCATGATATGATACAAGGCCTTTCCAGACTTGACGACGAATACACCTCCCAGACTAATGGTCTCTTCCACGCCGAATGCCGCAGCAAGACCTTGACGAATGCACTCGGTGAAACTCGTCTCGGATCCCTTGCGCCCTTTTGCCGTGATCTTCAAAATCGGCCCCGGTTGGCCCAGTGAGCCGTAGAGGTTGACCATTAAGCCGCAATCCGGAGATGGGCTTTTTTCAAGGGAGACGGCGTTGGTCTCTGGAACAATCCTCGCAAGGCGTGACTGGTTGGTGATATTCTCAATTTTGTCCTTCCAACTCAAGTTTGGTGCCAGCTCGCAGTTCTGGCCGACCACATGAAACGGACCAGCTCCTGCGCCGATGAGACCTCCGCTGTGCGCACTCATCTCCATGGCCCGGGCGAGATCAGTCATGGACCAGGTAGAGTCGAGGCGGGGCTGCGGGAAGAGGTTTGGCTGTCCGCCGACGTCTGAAATCTTCTCATCACCGCACAATCCTTCAGTGCACAGGTGGAATGGAGGCTGTCGAAGGTCCGGACAGTCGACAACACTGACGGTTGCATCCTCATAGTTCTCGCGCAGCGGACCTCCAAGCTGCTCAGCCAGGTCATGAAGACTTGGCGGGGATAATGGGAACTTCTCGACGCGCATACTGAATGGAGATTTAGTCTGATAAGCCTTGTTGTTTGTGCGATTAGATACAATTTTGACCGGTCACCAAAGCTACAATGTTGTTTAGAGAATCATGCGTAAAGAAGTTGTTGCTAGGTGTATATTATTTCTGCTTCGTGTATGCTCATCGGTACTCTCTCCAATCAGTCTCCGCACGAGTCAACCCCCGCCAAATCATTGGTACAGGGAGATGCATATAGGTGTCACTAGGCTGGTATCATTCAACTCAGTTCCCGGTTGGATACACTGGTTCAAAATACTAGATCTGAAAGTCGAACACGTGGTTGGACAAGCTCTGGGAGCTCTTCTTCGTAACAGAACTTCTGTAGGGACGGACTGCACTCCCAGGTAAAGAATGTTCCGGTCAATGCCGTCATCAGCAAAGCGCTTTTGGCAGAAATTCTTGAAGGGCGCGATGCCACTGCTTCTGGCGAACAAGGCAGAAGATGCAGACTAAGATCCGCAAAAACCCACCGATGCAAAATAATGAATGGCCATCTCAAATAGAAATAAGGTCTAACAGAACAAAACTTTCTTGGCAGGGGTTCTTTTCATGTTTAATTGGAAAAACAAATCATGTTTGCCATGGATGAGTGAAAGGCACGCTGCTGGGAGGCACTGGTCCTCGGGCCATTCGCTTACGGAAAGCTCGGGTAGTAGGTTATGTTATTATAGAACTACAGCTTTGACCTTTCGAAGTGGAGTTTACAGGCAATTAGGGATATAGTAGCTTTTGATTTGGGGGCCGGCTGTATTGTGCAATCCCCTGCTTTCTCATGATGTCAGTCACGACTGAGGAGCCAGCACGGATCTTGTCAACCTTCAAGACGGCACAGGCTCGCATTGATAAATGATCTTGTGTGTTTAATCAAAGTGGTGCCGGGCATCACGGTAGCATGCCGGAATCACCTGCCGGGTGGCTTCTGGAACCTTTCTGCAAAAGCATCTAACGAGGGTGACGCCATTGATAGCGTTACAGGTGGATCGTTCGTAACCAGCATGACATCACGAGCTTGCGAAACTTTACTTCATAGCATGAGAGATGGAAGGAGATATTAGAGTCGGACTGGCTTATATATAACTAAAGGTCTTGCTAAGAGAACGAACAAACTGTTTCCTGGCAATATTGATATTTCCACACATATCTCAATCACTTAGAAAATTGGCGGACGAACGCTTCGAAACTGTGGTCAGTGAGGTTCAACACAAAAAGAAAATTATATCAACAGTTCACGATGCCGCTTGTTGGGTCCATATCAACCGACACCTTTGATGCCGATATCAAAGATCGGCATCTGATATACTCGTATTCTGTACCAGCCTCGCAGACAGAGTCGGGCAAGCCTGAGAAATGGCGATACGAGATGTGGTTCTATAATTCTGACCGTATCGTCTACGCCATCCACGGCGGTCCAATGGCCGGACGCAAGAACTACCAAGGGGCAACATATCAATGTATCCGGCCAGGAGAGCTCTGGCAGTGCAACTGGTTGGAGGAGACGGGGACCATGTGTAGTCTGGTTTATGACATCCCAAACAAGACTATTACAACTATGCTCGGTTTCTCAAAAGGTCACTGGGAGAATGCACACGATGCGCACGGCAACAAGCGCAACAAGGACGACCTTGAGCGCTGGAGAGGTCTTGCAAAGATTGGATCGCAAAATGAACGCACCATGCTGTGCGAGCAGGCTGAGATTGAAGAGGATTTTAGAGGCAGGGGAGAATTGGAGCAGATTGAGATGGACTGGCCAGTCCTGTAGCGATGGCAGATGACGGTTGATTGTGCGTAGAGTATAGCAACAACGAAGTGGTGATGTCAAAATTGAAAAAAAAAAGAGAAAAAAATTAAATTGTTCATGTCAAGTTGACTTATCAACCATGATATTAAAGACCAAACCTCCACTAGAAATTAAAAAAAAAATACGGAACCAATAAAGTCTCTACTATATCCATGATTTCTTATAAGCAATCTAGTGAAAGAAGTGCGGAAAAGGTAAAAGAAAATATTTGCGCGCTTCACACCATTGGAGACATGTTCTATGTAGCCATTGTTCTTTGCGCGCTCTTTTGTCCTTGTATGACATCCACCTCAAGTCTTGGCCATGTCCAAGTTGATTCTCGGAAATAACACGACTTGCCAGTACTTGAGCTAGATCCCAGGTCGCGAAGGGATACTTCATACATTATTCAAGTTCTGAGGAGATCGAGCTCACCAAAGTTCACCTGTTTCATTAGGACTCAAGGATTTTTGGCCTTGATCTCAGTGTTCTTTTCTGCCGCAGCTGCATCCTTGAGATCAATAACCACATTATCTCCAAACCTGGCATTGATCTCTTCAAGGGTCAGGTTCTTAGTCTCTGGGAAGTAGAACATGATCACCAGAGTTGATACAAAGGTGACTGAGACAAATACCAGGTAAAACTTCCAGCCGATATTGTCGAGTGCAACGGATACTGGTGAACTGTACGCAATCGCATTGGCAAAAAAGGACGCGTATGCAATGGTAGACCCTTCGCTTCGCAAATGAGTCGGCCAGATTTCGGAGCCATAGACGTAGGCAGTACACTCAATGGTCGAGGTAAAGAAGGCTCCAAAAATAAAGTAAAACGCCACAGTGGCATTGATCCCGGGTAGGTCGTCGGTGTTCAGATAAGTCTTGATGAGCGCTGCCATCAGGCTCAGAATGATGGCCGAGCCGAAGCCACCGGCGACAAGCAATCTCACTCTTCCAACCCTGTCCATCAGGACAACGTTGAAACCACATCCAACAATGGCGCACACACACCATACTACACCGAGACCTAGCTGCATAGTTGTACCAAAGCCAAGACCTAGGTGTGACTTTGTTAGTCTCGAAATTCATATACTGAGATGCATGACACTTACCTCCCATCAGCACTGGGACCAGATTCGCAATGGCTGTAATGCCTGTTCCTTGACCCATGACCCAAAGTATGATGGAGCAAATGGCTCGCTTCCTTAGGTGTGGGGTTTTGAATATATGAATATAGCCCCTTGGCAGGCGGCTTTCTTCTTCGACTTGTGCCTGAATCTGTATGAACTCTGCGTGAGCCAGGGTTGCATCGGGGTCCGAGTGAGTTCGGTGAAGCATCTCCAGGATAGATCGGGCTTGATCGGGTTGGCCCTTTTGCATAAGCCAGCGAGGACTCTCGGGTAGGAAGTACAATGAGCAGAGATGAACTACAGCCGCCGCGGTGAGAACAACAAAGGTCAGCCGCCACTGGTAACCCGTCTCAACAAAACTGAAGATCAGGCCGCAGAGAGAACATATGATATAGGCCAGTACAATTCCCACACCCTGCAATCCTACGAGTAGTCCTCGGGTACGAGGAGGTGCGACCTCGCTCATATAGACTGGGCTGTTGGCGATGACCATGCCTGCACCAATGCCATTGAGCGTCCTCGAAAAGCAGAGCATGCCATAATTGACAGATCCAGTGAGTAGGGCACCAGACACGATGCAAATAATTGCGGCTGTCAGGTTGGCGATTTTGCGTCCAAATTTGTTCGAGACCGGAGCTTGAAGAACGGTGCCTATCGTAGCACCTGCGAGAAACCTGCAGAGAACATACTTAGAGTGCTTGTCTAGAAATGGACATCACATATGTTCTAAAGACATACCCGCCAAAAAGTCCGTCAGTTCTTTGCAACGCGTCAGCGCCAGAGAGAAAGTCGGTAATGAAGCTGGGCTGTGCCAGGGTACCCGACATAGCATTGCCTGAAAAGCCGTACAGAAAACCACCCAATGCCGCGGTAACACATACGAGAACCGATTTGCGACTAGTCTCATGATGCACGACCTTGTGATTGGGAGTCATGTTTCCAGAGTTCGAACCTTGGGCTATTCCTTCATCTGCTAATGCTGCCGGTTCTTCAGAAGGAGCCGAGACTTTGTTGCTGGCCATTGTCGAAAAAAGTGCATGTGGGCAAACCAGCTAGGTTAAACAAATTAAAAACTGCTGAGAATTGAGGACATTGGCTGATGAGAGATAGAGGAAGGTCATTTAGATATCTGGCCTAGCAAGCACAGATATTGTCTTCTCTACCTGGGTCTGTTCCGTGGGTACAAATACCCAGAGGAGTTAAATGGCAAGAAATCTGACCATCTGCAGCAAAGCGTGGCAGATGCATCTTACACGCATTAGAATCAAAAGTAGGAGCGGGATTTTGTCGCCCTTGTCCTCGGCACTTGAAGATCGGAATATAGTCCTGTATGGCTTGAGCGTGCAGGTTGTGTAGCTCAGAGTCCAGATTGGCTTGCCCGGTCATCATGCTGCATGGAGTATAGGGCAAAGGCTGACAAACATCTGATTATGCACATCAAATCAGAGTAATCCACTGTTTACAGCATAGGGAGAGAGTATATAAGTCAAGTGATACAAGATTTCACAGTGTCACACGAAATACCATTTCAAACACTGTGGCCCTCTACCGGGAGAAAAACATGATACAATCTAGGGTGACATTGAATGCAATGCAAAGATGCAATTTGAGCCAATCAACTGGCCCTCGTCATCTCACCGAGCGACCATCTATCACTTTATCTTTTCTTTTATTTTCTCTTAGGTCTCACATTGCACAAGGTATATGCAAACTACCGAAGGGTTCATACGTAGATCCAACCCCAATTGGATTTAGTAACTAAAGGACAACCCGCCATTGCAACTGATCAGACTGCCAGTACACCAACCAGAGTCTGGACTGCATAGAGTAGCCACCATCTGGGCAATTTCATGCGCGTAAGCACCACGTCCGCCCAATCGCTTGCCCAGTTCCTGCACCTCAGCACTGTCGGACTCTCTGATCGGCGCCAGCGGCGTCAGGGGATTCCAGAGAGCGAGTGCCCTCTTGATCTCTTCGGATGATGACAGATACACTTTCAGTGACTTGTGTTAGCAAGCTTTTTCTCCGGTAGGTGAGTGAGTTATAATGGTCTCTTTTGAGCATCTTCGGTTGAGGCTACTGCAGTATCCCTTTAAGCACGGGTTGCAGTCCCTTTTTGATACGTACCGAATTTCTACGTTTTGAACCAATTATAATACCAGATTATCTGGCCAAGTCAGACTAAGCTCTAAAAAGGCTTAGCTAGCTGTAAGTATAAGCAACGCGTCGAATAGAATCAATTAAACAACTGTGCGCAGCTGGCAAGGCATTATTTGGTAGAAAAACGCGAAAAAACGCGGGGCTAATTCTATTGAGTACAAAGGACGAAATATTCCTTACTTGATCCGGTATTTTAACTGGTTGAAAAAGTGGAATTTCGGTACGTATCGAAAAGGGACTGCAACCCGTGCTTAAAGGGATAGCACCATACAGGGCGATGTTTGCTCGTGGGACAACTGAGAGAAGGTCAGGATTTAACATGGAAAGTTGCATACTATCAGTCATGACGGGACCCGGGTTGATCGTATTGACCGTGGCGCGCTCCGCCAATTCTCGGCACCAAATGCGAGCCATTGCCTCCAGTGCGGCTTTTGTTCCCGAGTAGAGAGTCGTGTTGGGTGTCCCTATTTTTGGATTGACACTGGACATCATAACGATCCTGCCAGATCTGTCCGTTGGCAGGTATGGGAGACATGCCGCCGTGAGCAGCGTGGGCCCCAAGACATTGACGGCGTAAATGTGATGGAACTCATCCTCGACGACCTCTTCGATACCTCCCAAGTAGAGAACGGCTGCATTGTGAATAAGAATGTCGATTTGTACCTTGCCAGTTTCTGGGTTTGCAAAGTGCTTTTCCGCAGCTCTGATGATGAGGTCACACTGGTCTTTTTTGCTAATGTCAGCTCTTACTGGGATGGCCTTGATGTTGTAGTCTTTCTCAAGCCGATGACCTAAATCAGTTGCTGGGTCGTCCGAAGACTCCGTCACATAGTTGATGATGACGTTTGAGCCTCTGCTTGCCAGATCCTCTGCAATAGCTGCTCCGATGCCTTCAGATGGTGAGCTGGTCAGTGCGGACCAGGTGCATTGCTAATATCATATCAAACTCACTTCGAGCAGAGCCAGTGATGATCGCCAGCTTTCCTTCATGAACTCGCGGGCGCAGAGACTGGTTGAGGGGAGAGCCAGACATCTCGAGTGCTTGCAGGTTGGTCGAGTCCTACACTTTTGCTGCTTGGAGTCAAAAATTCTTGTAAACTATCTCACTTCTTCTTGCCAGCTCGGTCCCATCTAATGCCTTCACCGGCCAAGTCCCTTTCTTTTTTTTCTCTTTCCTCCCTCTCCAAGGCAATCCATAATATTCTAGCTAAGTACCTAGCTGATCTTTGTCAAGAAACGAACATGATGACGATTCGTCAGTCATCACTTATCATCAACATACTATGCACTAGAAGCCCCGTTATTAGTGCAGAGATACCTTGCAGTATATGTACAATCCCTTCTATACTACCCTAGCGATATCCACTGAGAAGCGTCAAGTGTTTAGATAGATATGGAACTTGACTGCGTTCGAATTCTTGACATCTGACGGTGAAGTATTCATGCTCGTTGCCTATTGGGTAGCCCAGTCTTGCTTTATGTAACTCCTCGCATATTGTTTCCCACTCTGCTGCCACTTACATACTACAGCAGCTTGCAGCTTGCACACAGCCCTTGATCAACGTGCAGCTGGAATTGATACCATTTAAAACCCACAGGCCGGGCCGAAGGAAAAGATCAACAGCCAACAGGGTTTCCCCTTACCATCATATCAGGGTACAACTGGCTTCAGTTCTAGTAGTCTCGGGTTTATTTCCCACAAACGGAAAAGCACCTCCACATTCGTTCATCAGCGATATGCGGGCACTCCCGGTTCGGCAATCCACAGCCCCTCCCACCCACTCTTCAACGGTCACTATCAGTGG